GAATTAATTTGTCCCCGTACGACACTGGCCTCCCATTTAAATTGATTTGACAATGGTTCCCGTGATGCCAGCATTTGTGATGATTATTAATAAATCACAAGGACAAACTCTAGACAGAGTAGGCATGTTCCTACCTGAACCCGTTTTTGCACATGGTCAGTTATATGTTGCTTTCTCTCGAGTTTGAAGAGCATGTGATGTTACAGTTAAAGTTCCAAGTCCTTCATCACAAGGGAAATTAGTCAAGCCCTCTGAAAGTGTTTTCACTCTTAATGTGGTATACAGGGAGATATTAGAATAAGTTTAATCACTTTATCAGTCATTGTTTGCATCACTGTTGTTTTCATATCATGTTTTTGTTGTTTTCATATCATGTTTTTGTCGTTTTTATATCATGCCTCTGTTGTTGTTATATCCCTTTGTCACTGTTTATTTATTAATAAATTTATATATTATTTTCATATACATTGTACTAATTTCCTTTCATCTCTCACACTTCTATTATAGAGAAAGGGCAAATAGCAATATTAAAATATCTCTGCTAATTAATTCCCTTTTTAAAAAAATATATTTTATTGATTTTTCACAAAAAGGAAGGGAGAGGGATAGAGAGTTAGAAACATCGATCAGCTGCCTCCTGCACACTTCCCACTGGGGATGTGCCCGCAACCAAGGTACATGTCCTTGACCAGAATCGAACCTGGGACCCTTGAGTCCGCAGGCCAATGCTCTATCCACTGAGCCAAACCAGTTAGGGCAATTAATTCCCTTTTAATGTGCATGAATTTTGTGCACCAGGCTACTAGTGTGTGTGTGTGTGTGTGTGTGTGTGTGTGTGTGTGTGTGTGTATATATTTATATGTATATGTATGTATATGTATATATATATGTATATGTATGTATATGTATATATATGTATATATATGTATATATATATGTATACACACACACACACACACACACACACACACAAACCAAGGGAAAAATATCCTCAGGTGAGGATTAAAAAAAAAGAAAAAAAAGACAAAAGTTTCTGTAAGCATTTTGCCTGAAATTATATTAATTTGGTGAAGACCACTTTACAATATTGGGTTTTTTCATCTATAAAAATTTATATCCCTCCATCTTTTATGTCCTTCAATAAAGCTTTTATAATGTTCCCCATATTGAATACCCTATGGTTGAACTGCTATTTATTTTGTATTCTGCAACTTAAACAAAAATTCATATTAACCCTAATAAATTATCTGTAGTAGCTACTCTACACAATTTTGTTTCGTCCTTTCTACTTTTTTTTTGTAGTTTTAATCTTATTACTGTGGCCAGGACTCCAGAATAATGTTGACTAGAAGTGGTGAGAGTACAGATCTTTATCTTTTGCCCAAATTTAAAGGCTAATGCTTCAAATGTCTCATCTGGAAGCTGATGTTTACTGCAGATTTCTGTTGGCTTTCCTTTTCAAAATGGACACAATAGTTAGTACTATTAAATATATGTGGGCTCGGCTGCAAAGTCAATAGTAACCAAACTCCTCCAGACTTTATAAATCACTGCTTCCTTTTTATTCTGTGACTGGACTTAGTCTTCTATTCAAAGCTGTACACCTTGTGCAGTGCACAGAATGACTGCCAATTCCCATTCCACTTCTTAAGATCATTTATGTCATCACTGTTGTAATTTCATTTGAAGTTTTTCTACAGCCTCTGATGATGTTTCTTTGGCTGTGCCTGCTCATAGCTGCCAGGATTGGATTATTACTTCAAAGGAGGCCGATTTCCATGCCCAGCCACGAGGACACACGACAGAAGCAACGGTGGTTGGCTGCTCCCACAGAAACATGACAAAAGAGGTTACCCCAACACTACCAGGTCAAAAAATTTCTATTTAGGTTTTCCACCCACCTCCAGCTCTTAACCCAATGTTTTGGGGACTGTTATATAAATAGTATAATCCTATTGAAAGCTAACACACCATCTTATTCCCTCAGACCACGTGAGTCCTGAGGCTGGATATATTTTTTTTCATTTCCAATTAGCAATATTCCCAAAACACATATTTGCAACAAAGCTAAAGGCTGCCAGAGGTTTGAAAATACCTGTTCTAATGGTTTATTTATAAGCTAACTTAGTCCAAAATAAGTGATTTGCCCAAGGTCACCTTAGTGAGAAGCACAATGATAAACTATGCTCCCAGCTTTCTTCACTGTAAAATGACGCACTCATGGACCTCAGAATCTCGCATGTCTGCACGACTAGCAATCAGCCTGGAGCAGTGTTGCTGCAAACACACTGATCTTGTTTAAAGATTAAATCTTCAGACTCCTCAGTACTATACCATTACGACACTTACATTAAGTCACAGCATGTCGGGGAATGCCAGGTATACACAGGCAACACCCTCAGAATTCTATTTTAATAAAAGCAAAATCAAAGGATCACTTCATATTTATGTAAAGTCAACTCAATTGGACAGACATATTTCCTAGAATGAATCTACAATCACAGTAGACTGTGGCATAGGAAGTGGTATTAACAAATACAGAGGAAAAGGTGTGTCAACCCCTAAGGGAGAACATGGAGGAGAGGGGATGCGGAAGGAATCAGGGCAGGTTAGGCTGAGTATGCTGTGTGTTTTCCAGGGAAAGGTAGCGCAGAATCTAGAGAAAGTGAGCAGGACCCCAGGGTGTGGGAGAAGTCTCTTGTGGAGAGAGCTATTCCAGGTAAGCGCATCTCAAGACATCTACCTCATGGTACTCAATCTATGCTCAATAAAGAACCTTCTGATGACTAATTCAGTTTCTGTGTTCTTCAGAGAGACAGAAAAATGCTCCAGACAAAATTCTTAAGCATTCCCATCATTGGAATCCACCTGATACAAATGACCAGCTGACCTTGTGGTTTATACACCAGTCTCCAGGTCTGATCAACTTGGGCCTGGGCCTCCAGGGTGAGGCATGGTTGACCCCATCAAGGAAACGCTACCTGCTGAGGCCTCCTCCTAGTCCCTCTGTAGGTCTTTGCTGGGATGCCAAACCCACCTCATATTACTTCCATTTTCCACACCAGACCTATTGCCTAAGCACATTTCAACAAAACTTTTCAAAGATTTAAAACATGCCATGCAAAGGCATTAAGAAAATGAATGTGCTTTCCTTATATAAACTGAGTATACTCTTTCATCAGCTCTTGGAGTGAAGAGGCTATAGCTCTCAAATCCTTCCCAGGAGGCACCTTCGCCTACCCTGCTCGGATCCCCCTGAGCCAAAACGGGGACGTGCAACCGCACAACTTACATAAAAACAGTTCTCTATTTTCACTACTAACTTAAATTATTCATTTTTCTTCAGGGATGTAAAATAACTGTTCAAAGAAAAACAGTAATACTCATTAATTTTGACTGTTTCTAAAATGCCCTCCTTAGAAATTAGTTGGCTTAGCTCACTGAATTAGCCCTACAAAATCCTTTCAGGATGGTACTCTCTTATTAGACCTACATACTTTGCTTTTAGAGTTAATACCCAATAAGTGCCTATCTGATGGTTTGACCACTAAAAATCACTAAGAAAATTCCTTTCCCAGGACGTGCGGACTACTTTGCAATGCCTTTTCAGTAGTGGGAAAGAGTTACCAGCCCACATTCTTTTTTTCTACCAGTTTTCCTCCTGCAGACAGGAAGCATCAGTAGCCACTTAATCTTTCCAAGTTGGTGTCTAAGGGGCCACTGAGAGAGACCAAGGATTCTATTTCTATTGTTGGTTTGCAGCCAAGACTCTATTCTTAGCCTGATACCAAGAATACTCTATCCAGGAATGCCTTGTGAAATAAGACTATACTGCCTAGCCTGGGACCAGACCCTGAGCATGGCCGTCATCCCTGAAGCCAGTTCTGGCTGAAGGTCTGATGGCTCCTGCTGCTGCGCAAGGCTTTGAGTCATCTCACTGTTAATCTCTCTTGGACCAAATGCTCCCAGGGAATCACCATGACTAGACACTGTGAAGATATCCCAGATCCTCACATTTCCTTTGCATAGACCCTACTAACTAGGAGGCCAGAACTGGCATTCCAGTTGTGTTCCTGTTTTTCTCATGTTTAAAATTCTGAGTAAATATGAGAGGAGACAGAAACACTTGCTCCATAAATGTGGGCCTCCAAGATGACCTAGATAATTCTGCACACACCATGCAGGAAAGCCCTATTTTCCCCCAAACAAGGTTTGAAATCAATACCAGTAATGGGCCATGCCCTACAGTAATATTGTAAACCTGAATAGCAGAAAAATGATGTGATTTATGTAATAATAAAAAGATCAATTATTTTTTTCAGTAGCTATAACAATTAAAACCATGATACCAATAGCTAACATTTATCAAGTGCTCACCACGCACTGGGTATTTTACAAGCACCATCTTATTTAATATCCCAGTGTCCTTATAAAGTTATTGCCTTTTACAGGTGTGAAAACTAAATAACTTTGTCAATGTCACCCAAACTGGTTAAAGTATCAAACTGGGATTTAAACCTAAGCCTATGTTACTCTAGTCCAGCCGTGGGCAAACTACGGCCCGCGGGCCGGATCCGGCCTGTTCGGCTGTTCTATCCGGCCCACGGAGCCGAAAGAGCGGAGGGTTCTCTTGCTCTCCCCTCCGCTCCTTCACCAGCAGCAGTGTTAACATGGCAACGTCGGGAAACACGGCTGCAGCTCCTTCTTCTGAGTCCAGTTTAAGAACCCATTGTGGCCCTTGAGTCAAAAAGTTTGCCCACCCCTGCTCTAGTCCCTGAGTTTAACATTCCCGTTCACAAAAAAAGAAAAAGAAAAGAAAAGGAACATGTCAATGTTACATTTTGGTTGGATTTCATGAGTGAATCTTGATTTTTATAATCCACAATTAAATTATTCAACTTTCTATATTTGCCCATCTATTGTTTTTTCTCATTCTCATTCATGGTAATTAAGCTGAACAAGAAAAGGTCTTATAATTATGCATTCAGCAAAGTACTTACATAGTCAATGGGCTGGAGGGACTTGACTTCAGATGTCGGGCAGCCACAAGAAGTAAGGTCAGCATAGAGACCTTCTTCTAACACACACTGGTTATCAGATATGTCCTCTTGGTAATACAGGAGCCAGCTGCAAACACAAGCCATGAGACAGTCCATTAGACTGCATCAGCCTCCGGTGTCGGCTCATCATTGCGCTGTGTATGTCCATTGGGGCAGGGACATGGCATTGAAGTCATGGTGCTGACCAGCAGCAAATGCCCATCACCACTTTAAAAAACACAGCTACCACTATCATTCACTGCTTACCATGTGCTAGACATAGGCTAGTACCATACACATACACACACACACACACTATATAATAAAAGGTTAATATGCAAATAGACCAGTCACTATGACACACACTGACCACCAGGGGCAGATGCTCAATGCAGGGGGCAGATGCTCAATGCAGGAGCTGCCCCCTGGTGGTCAGTGCGCTCCCACAGGGGGAGTACCGCTCAGCCAGAAGCCAGGCTCATGGCTGGTGAGTGCAGCGGCGATGGCGGGAGCCTCTCCCACCTGTGCGGCAGTGCTAAGGATGTCCAACTGACAGCGTAGGCCCGCTTCCCACAGGCCTAAGCCGTCAGTTGGACATCCCCGGAGGGCTCCTGGACTACGAGAGGGCGCAGGCTGGGCTGAGGGATGCCCCCCACCCCCCTGAGTGCATGAATTTCGTGCACGGGGCCTCTATGTGTGTGTGTGTGTGTGTGTGTGTGTGTGTGTGTATGAGGCCCGGTGCACAAAAATTTGTGCACTCGAGGGGGGGGGGGCGCCTCAGCCCGGCCTGTGCCCTCTCGCAGTCTGGGACCTCTCGGGGGATGACCACCTGCTGGCTTAGGCCCGCTCCCTGGGGGATTGGGCCTAAGTTGGCAATCAGACATCCATCTGGCAGCCCAGGAGCCCTCGGGGGATGTCCACTTGCCAGTGGCGAGCAGGCCTAAGCTGCAGTCTGACATCCTTAGTGCTGCTGAGGAGGTGGGAGAGGCTCCCACCACCACCACTGTACTGGCAGCCGTCAGCCTGGCTTGTGGCTGAGTAGAGCTCCCCCTGTGGGAGCGCACTAACCACCAGGGGGCAGTTCCTGCATTGAGCATCTGCCCCCTGGTGGTCAGTGTGTGTCATAGTGACCAGTCATTCCTAGTCGCTCTGCTGTTAGGGTCAATTTGCATATCACCCTTTTATTATATAGGAGTGCCTGGCCAGCCTGGGTGAGGGGCTGATGGCTGTTTGCAGGCTGGCCACAGCCCCTTCAGGGTGGAGGATCCTGCTGGGGAGCCTGGCCAGTCTGGGTGAGGGGCTGAGAGGGCCGTTTTCAGGCTGGCTAAGCCCCCCAGCGGGGACCCTTACCTCATGAGGGTGTGGCCATCCTGGGTATAGGGGCTGATGGCTGCTTGCAGGCTGGCCACAGCCCCTTCAGGGTGGGGGGTCCTGCTGGGGTGCCTGGCCAGCCTGGGTGAAGGGCTGATGGCTGTTTTCAGGCTGGCCACAACCCCCAGCCACACAAGCTCCCATGGAGGCTGGCTAGAAGCAGGTATCTTGGATTTGTCTTCTATAATTGAAACTTTGTTGCCATGAGTGGAGGCCACAGCCAGCTCAAGGCAGGTGGGAAGCTTGGCTTCCTCCATCGCCTGGGCAACCAAGCCTCCTGCTTGCTCCAGCTCCGTGGCTGCTGGCCGCCATCTTGGTTGGGTTAATTTGCATATAGTCACTCTGATTGGCTGGTGGGCATGGCTTAGGGCATAGTGAAGGTATGGTCAATTAGCATCTTTGTCTTTTATTAGTGTGTGTGTGTGTGTGTGTGTGTGTGTGTGTGTATACTATTTCACCGCGTCCTCAAAGATTCCATGAGATAAAACCATATTATATATATATTTTAAATTCTCACCTGAGGCTATGTTTTTTATTGATTTTAGAGAGAAAAAGAGAGTGAGGGAGGAAGGGAAGGGGAGAGAGAGAGAGAGAGAGCGAGAGAGCGAGAGAGAGAGAGACACCTGGGATTGAACTTGCAACCTAGGTATGTGCCCTGACCGGGAATCAAACCTGCCACCTTTTGGTATAGGGATGACACTCCAATCAACCAAATCACACTGGCCAGGGCATAAAACCATATTGTTAAAGGCAACACAACGAAGTTCAATTTGCCCAAGGTCTCCCCAACTTATCAAATGATAGAGCTGAAATTTGAAAGACAATATCTGCTTTAAGCTAATGACATTAACTTCATTTAGTGCTTGCAAGTACAAACCTCTGGGATCAAATTGTAGTGATTATTAAGCTCTTGAACACATTATTTTTTGGGGAAAATAAAAATTTGTATCCTTATTTAACAATGAGTGTGTCCTTCAGTCTGGGTGGGCTATAAGCTAGACTCCTAAAATTACACAACAGTATATAAAGTCTGTTACCTGCACACCTGACAGCTAATTAAGATGATAAAAAAGAAATAAACCCTTCAGAATCTTGGATATTGAATTATTGTCACAGTCAATGGGCTTGAGGGACTTGACTTCAGAAGTCATCAAAGCTTGATTAAGAAATGCCCTTTTGAAAGGACGGAGCTAAGGGATTAATGAATTGGCTGTTACTACTTCAGTTTTGATGTGTTTAAGTTGCAACCCTACATTTTAAGATCACCAGAACTGTAGTTTGGCTAGACCAGGTTAACTTTGGAAAACCACAGAAATGCTCTGTGACATCCTAACTTACTGTCATATCTTCTATGTAATTAGCAATATATAGCCAACATTTGTCAAAGGGTTTCCATGTGTCAGGCATGAAGTAAGCCTTCCATATACATCATTTATTCAGTCCTTGTAAGAATCCTTTGAGGGCCAAAACCGGTTTGGCTCAGTGGATAAAGCGTCGGCCTGCAGACTGAAAGGTCCCAGGTTCGATTCCGGTCAAGGGCATGTACCTGGGTTGCGGGCACATCCCCAGTAGGAGATGTGCAGGAGGTAGCTGATCGATGTTTCTCTCTCATCGATGTTTCTAACTCTCTATCTCTCTCCCTTCTTCTCTGTAAAAAATTAATAAAATATATTTAAAAAAAAAAAAAAAAAAGAATCCTTTGAGGTAGGTATTATTATTATTCCTCCTTTACAGCTAAGGAAACTGAGGTTCAGAGAGATAACCCAGTATGTTTAAGGTTACAGAGGTGGAAGTGATGGGAGTGGCTCAAATCCAGCTCCTTCAAGCATTCCAGGTAATGAAGCAATCACCATGGTTCTTGTATTTTTTTTTTTAATGAACTGGTTTTGCATGTTTAAAGAGATTAAAAGATGGGTATTTCGTGACATGTGACTATTATATACAATTCAAATTTTAATGGCCATAAACAGTCTCACTGGAACCCAGACATGCCCGCCCGTTTATGTATTGTCCACAGTGCCGTTGCGCTACAGTAGCTGTGGAGTATCTGGGGAACAGCCTGTAAGGGCTCAGAGATGAAAAAGTTTGCTGACCCCTGGTGTGGCGGGTAAGCTGAGTAAATGTTGGGAGAGGAGAGGATGGGGGCAGGGTAAGGGCAGACTGGAGGATGGATAGAGAAAATGAGATGAGTTGATGGTAAATCCTGGAAGACTTTGAACATCTGACTGGTATTAGAAAGTGGCTATGGAATTTAAAGCAGACTAGTAAACATATTAAACTGAACTTTGGGGCAAATAAAAGGGCAATGATTGGTTTGTGGTAACCAAAGGAAGTAATACAACACTGGAGCGGGTTGATTAGGAGACTGAAGTTCCTCAAATGGAAAACAAGAGATCCTAGTCTCTACTGGTTCAGGAGAGAGAGGAGAATTGATGAATCCAAGGTTATCTTAAAGAACAAATAAAGTGACTTTGATGAGTTATTAGGTAGATATTTGATACATAGAGACGCTACTCAAATCTACACTTAAAATTAAAATGGTAAATTTCATGTTATGTATATTTTACCACAATAAAAAGTCAACACACACACACACACACACACACACACACACACACACACACACACTACAGTGAAATATTATACTCATGATGTATCTATTATCAATTTATCCATGCTAAGGATTATATATCTTGAGAATTATACACAATTTCAGATTTCAGATACATGTGAAAAAGATCCAGTATGTTGCTGCTGTTGGGAGAACATAGGACTTAATAAAAAACGACCAAGCCACACTGGGCCTGACATTCAGTTGATCTTGGGGAAACACTAACTCTGAACCAGGACCTGCATCTATGAAATGGGGATGATAAATACTCTAAACAAAAAAATTTTTTCTTTAATCTAGGAGTCTTATCTGAACAAAAGCACTAATCTTTTTATTGCACTCTATTATGCTACACAATAAACATACAATATAAACACTCAAAATATTTAGAAAATAATGTAACAGTAAGAAAAAAATCACCCAAATGTTCCCGAAGCAGGCTAACTGGCATCCTGTTTCTCTGTTACACAATGGCTCATAACAGGAGTTGGAAAAAGTTAATATAAGCTATTTAGCAGCCCATCAATGAATAAAAACATTTTTATTTCACTGTGTATGCAAAAAATAATACAGGTCAAATATCTGTAAATTTTAAAGAAATTTAGTTGTTAAACAACAGTAAAAAACACTCAATAAGTATACTTACCAGCCCCGAAGAACTTTGAAAGAACATGGAGTGAATGAAGTCAAATCAGAAATTTCTTTGGTAAAATCTACACATTCACCTTGGAACCCTGGTTTACTGAATGCTTTGAGCTAAAAAACAAACACAACACAACAATTACACAGAAAACAACTGTTTGATATAATCACAAAAGCAAACTTTGTTTCATGGCCTTATAAAAAATTCAGTGAAATATTAGATTCATGATATATCTATTATCAATTAATCCATGTTAAGGATGACATTTCCCTAAAATTCACATTTTATTCCCCATACATATTTTCAGGAATGTCATCATGTATTTACCTTTTTCATCTATCTCTTGCACAAAATACTGGGCACAGAAGCCCAGAAAACAATTCTACCTATAAGAGTAAACCAGAATCCCTCCTCCACTAAGATGTGGTCCTTATCCATTGTATCAATTATTCTCCCGTCATGACACTACGGGTATGAAATAATAAGCAGTTTAGTGCTAAACACAAAGGAGATTTGGATTAGTATGGGGGTGGCTGATATGCCTCTCCCCTTTCCAAGCCTTCAGGATCCACAGTTAATGAGAGGGAGGAGAGAACGTGAGCACATACCCACAGTGCCATGAGCTGCCTGTGAGAGTGGAGATGGCGATGATAGGATTAGTGGAAAGCTTATGGCGAAGAGAGACGTCCGTGTCATGCATTTCAGGGTACAGGATTCAGTTTACTGATTAGACTACCTTAAACTTAATCCCAACAATAAGTTCCTTTAGACCAGAGATACATATCTGCAACACAAGTGACCCTGGATCTGTAATAGGTGAGACAAAATTAATGAGCCCTATAAATATTCCATAATCCACCAGAGCCTTGAAATGCCATGGCCCACAGGTCCACCCTGCACAGACAGGCCTGCGCTGGGGTAAGAATGCATCACAATGAACTATCTGCAGCATCGCCCTCTCTGCTGCTCACGAGGTCATGGAGAACAAGGCTTCTTTGAGCAGTGGATGTTCCCTTTTTCCTTCCTCTCCAGGGCCCTCTTAGAGGCTGATGGTCCCTGCATTCTGAGGAATTCTTTCTTGACCATGTCATTCTGCTTTGGCCTTGCTTAGTCTTTCAAAGATCAGCCAAAACCTGGGAGGTGAGAGAACCAATTCCCCCGACCAACTGCGGCTTGCGCAACACGACTTCCTATTGTGAAACCAGGCTGTATTTGGAGCATTACAACTAGGAGCTGTGATCTAGCAAGTTTCTACCACCGTCCTTTTGGTGCACACAGAGGATAGCAACAAAAAACAAGCCGAAATGAGACAGACTTCTGGAATAATTTCCTGTGTAAGAACAATTTTTCAGGTCCAGGGAAATTGCCCCTAAATTCCTTGATAAGAGCATGTATTTTGGATAGTGGTTTTTCAGAATATATAATGTTTTTGATTTAAGAGAGAGAGGGAGAGGAACATCAATGAGAGAAACACCAATCAGTGCCTCCTGCACGCCCCCTACTGGGGACTGAGCCCACAGACCGGCCAAGTGCCCAGACAGGGAATCGAGCCAGTGGCCTCTCCTTGCATGGGATGACATCCAACCACCTGAGCCACACTGGCCAGGGCCAGGCTGTATATTTTAACTTAAAGGTTTATAAAACACGAGTCTAAAAGTAAATCACATTTAACTTAAAAAAAAATGCAATTTCTCCTGTATGTAGATATTACCTCAATTCACAATAAGAACTGAAACAGCCTCATGGCTGTTTCATTCATAATTGTATTTCCAGTTTGTTTAATTATTTTCATATTGTTGAGCTTGTAATTTATACTTCAATGTTTCACCATGAAATGTCAAGTCCTGGACAACTGACAATGCAAGGTAAACATACTTCAGATGGTATGTATAGTAGCCACCTCTATTTTCTAGTCTCAGTGTTCATACTTAGAAGCATTAACTGAAATTTACACACACACACACACAGAAAAGTAACACTTCATTCTGACTACCTTACAAATGCCTCATAATAGAACAATTCTCATAATAATTTTCTGAGGACGGTCCACACAGAAACCAGCACCGCATTTATAAACTATAGTAATGAAACTTGGTGAAATTAAGTCCTGTGTACTACTGGCCGGATAACTATTTTAGTTTCCTTCCTAGGATAATGTAGAACAAATGTATAAAACAATGCAGATACTTTGCTTAGAACACAGGCAAGTAGTCAGATAAACAAAAGTTTATTTCAAACCACATCCAGCTCTCTGTGACATCTGGGCACAGCTCCATTCCTACCAGCCCCACAAATGGAACTGTATGGAAGCAAAAAAAAAAAGAAAGAAAGAAAAAGAAAAAAATACAGTGTACCATTGGTTTGCAAGGTGCCTTTTCTCATATATTATCTTATTTCTCCTTTAGACTGTCCTTTAAGGCACAAATTATCACTGCTTTATGAAGATTTGCAGAAATGCTTTTTACTATATACTTTTCATTTATGGTATATAAGAGTAAATGCAGTTGGTCTTTAATCTAATACGATAAATTAAAAAGTCAAGACCACGCCTAACTGGTTTGGCTCAGTGGATAGAGCGTCAGCCTGCGGACTCAAGGGTCCCAGGTTCGATTCCGGTCAAGGGCATGTACCTGAGTTACAGGCACATTCCCAGTAGGGAGTGTGCAGGAGGCAGCTAACTCTCTATCCCTCTCCCTTCATCTCTGTAAAAAAATCAATAAAATATATTTTTAAACAAACAAACAAAAACCACTCAAGACCAAACACAGAAGTTGTGCTCAGTTTATCCATATCAGAATAATTGTGAATGCATTTACTCCAACATTAAAGTAATTTCCGTGAGAAACATTCTATCCTGTCTAAAAAAGACTTTCTGCTGCCCTTTGGACCTCCTCCAAACACGCTGGTTGTTGAAGTCTTGCTTGCAATCTTCTGTTGCATCACGCTGCCTCATCCTGTAGTGTTATGTACTTTCCCCACCGATCACATGTCCTACAGTAACTGTACTTCTCTGATTACTCCTAGAAGGCTGTCTTTACTTGGTGGAGTACTTCCCGAGTGTTTCTACCTGTGGATTCTATAAAGATGAGCTAGTCACAGTACCATGAAGAAGTGTTTTTCTCTACTGCTCTTGAATCTTAATGATATTTGACTAAAACTGTTGTTCCTTTTCCCCATCAATGATAACAGTAATCACAACTATTAAAGATCCTGCAATCACTCTAAAATTCAATGTGGCAAAATTATATGATATAAGAAAATAAATATCCAGTCGCTTTTTCTCAGCCAGAATCATGCATAAAATTCAACAAGGGCTCAATAGTGAAAGAAATCCAAACTTCTAATTATATTTGCAATAGACTTGAAAAAGATTCTAAGAAAGCAAAGTCCTTGGTTGGGTTAGAATTTCCAGAGAATGATGCCTGAAAACAACCTCCCTGAAAACTAAACACACTGCTGTAAGATTTAATTTAGTGAAATTTCTGATTTGGACTTGCTGGGGGTGCGGGGTGATGAAGACATTAGGAACATAATCCACATGGTTTGCTTTTTTGTTTTGTTTGGGGAAAAATAAAAATAAAATGCCACCTGCTGAATATGAAGAACTCTATAATGCTCCTTTATATTTTGAGTTGGCAATTAGACTTGGTGACTGAGCTTCAATCAAAAACAACCTTCTCAATACAAGGAGGTGTTGTTCCATGTTCCAAATAAGACATCTCATCATGACATGCTTACACATCAGCAAGAATATTTTTATTAGCATAACTCTCATGATGTGTATTGATCTTTATCCACATACATTTTCTGGTTTTTCCTTTCTTAGGATGCTTGAGGTTCCTTTTCAAATCACTATCAAAAAAATTCCATCTCTGCCTTGAAGTCTGAGATGTAACTTCCTACTTATTCCACAGACAGAGAAAACGACGACTTCCTCTAAACACAGCATCTGCATGGTCAGTCTGGCTATCATAGCTACTTGTAAAGAACAAAAACACTTTCTAATTACTGTGTGGAACCAGCGTGTCAGCCAATCCAAAAGCTACCAGAACGTTCTGGAACGTTGGTCCAGTGGAAATAATAAGACCTTTGATACTGGGTCAATTAAGGAGGCTTTGTCTGCATGTGACCAAATATCCAGCTACCATCCACCTGTCAGAAACATTTATTTCACAAGGCAATAGCTGAGCCACAGCCAGAAAAACGAAGTGGGCCAAGTCCACTGGGCGTTCTCTGCTGCTTCCTTTTTTCTTCAAGTTGGACTGGAAATACTATGAAGAAACCCTCTGAGCAATCCACCCCAAACAAGGAAGTCCATACAAAGGACAGGGACGTAGGAGGGAAACAGACCTGAAAAGAATGTGACTTCTATTTGCTCTTAAGACTCAGAGATGTGCAGTTAGGGATCATCCCTATTTAACCCCTTAACTACTTATGTTGATCCATGTGAAAAAGTCCTTTAAGAGTCCACAGCTGAAGTTTACAAAGATTCAAAATAAATATTTTGGCAGGAAGTGTCTCCAAATACAACAGCTCGATTATACAGGGTAGAACAAAAGTGGGTTTACAACTGTTCTTTTGGAAAAAGACATGTAATTATTACAATAGCTTTATTAACTGCTTCTCAAACTCACAACTGTAAACCTACTTTTACCCGACCCTGTATTTACAAAGGAAATGTTCCCAATGGGCCTGAGTTAATCAGAAATGAAACCTGAAAGCACTGTGAATGGGTAAACTAAGCTGATTTAAAATATATAAACAGTGATGTGAACATGAAAAACATACACTCAAAGAGAAGGATTCAGCATTATGTAAAGCTAGCAAATGTCAAGTAATTAAAATTAACCAATATATTTGGCTTTTTGACAGAAAATGTTCCAAATTTGTTGTTTAAAGTGAGACAGAAGAAGCTATCTCTCTCAATCTCTCTTCCTTCTATAGTTGTACTGCTCATATCATGCAATGTCTTTCTTGATGTAAAAATCCTGAAAATGTGGCTAAGTAGTGTCAGATACTAGAAAATGCCTATTTTGTGATTGTGTGAAATGATACAAATTCTAAATCCCGGTTTGCTCATCAATAAATGAGATTAACCCTGACCTCACAGAGTTATCAGAAGCACTAAATGAGCACAATTTCTGTTCCACCTTTTCACCCAGCCCCACAGCCCCCTCCCCTCTGACAGCTGCCAGTCTTTCCTCTATCTATGAGTCTAATTCTATTTTGTTAGTGTATTTTGTTCATTAGATTTCACATATGAGTGAAATCATATGGCACTTGTCTTTCTCTGACTGGCTTAAGTCGGTAAAGGGATTAAGCAAAAACCACAAAAAACTCACACAGACAACACTACGGTGATTACCAGAGGGTAAAGGGGAGATGGTGACTGAAGGAAACTTGACTTGGGGTGGTGAACACACAATACAATATACAGATGATGTATTATAGGAATGTATACCTGAAATCTATATAGTTTTATTAACAAATGTCACCCCAATAAATTCAATAAAAAAGTAAAAACAAAAACAAAAACGGGGGGGGGGGGCACAATTTCTAGGCCTCAATGGATAATAAACAAAACTTAGGCTCCAGAGTAATCCCCAATCCTTCAAACCCCTACCACTAGAAATAAAGAAGTAAGGTTGCAATTTTAATAGCACTTTTAAGACCTATCTGATTTTGGTATTAGAAATACATTAGGAATACATTAGGAATAATAAGCATGTCAAGACAGCTAGCTATTTCTCTATGTGCTGAATAAGGATAAAACACTCAAGAACGGCTGGGTGACAGGGAAGCAGAGTGGCAGACGTTCAAAATGACCCCACAGTGGTTAGAGTTGAATCCCTATCAGAAGAAAACAGGAGCCGGGATACATCCAGGCCAGAACCACCAGCAACAAAGATGGGCTCTTCTGCGTGCAGGTACCAAGCACAACGCAGCCGCCCTGACACACAGCCACACACACGTTATCTGAAGGAAACAAGGATTTGAGAGAAAGGGCATAGATGCTTTTAGCAAACAATTTAACAATCCCCAGGTAAGGCTATTTTTAAACATACCAAATGTGGAGGCTCATTTATCCCAAGTGGTTCCTGAAAAACATATTAAATAAAACATTAAAACAATTGTAACCATATAATCAGTAGTCTTCTCAAAAGTTCCGAAAATATCCTTGGCGGGGAGGAAGGTCTAGCCAATTTACTAGATTTTTTTGAATTGGCCAGGACCCTCAAATAACTTACTGAATTCTCTTACAGTAATTTTGTATTTATTACTAATTCACTTTGAGTAATACTGTAGCTGGAAGAAAAATGTGCCCCAATACCCATTAGAACAAAAGCGTCTGAACTTCCCACTATTCCGTCTCCCAAACTATCTCGTGGACACCCAGACTGCCCTGTAGTGTTTATTACCCAGGCTCTTTGTGGAATGCCCTCTCTGCCCTCCGTACCTTAAGATTTCACCCAGTGTATTCCCTTTCGTGGCACGGTCCCCAAGTTCCCAGGTCCTGAGTGCTTCCTTTCCCTTGCTCCCCTCGCACTGCCTACACATTTCATTTTCTCACTAATCATTCTATAATTAATTGTCTGTATGTCTATCTCCTCAGAGACTGAGACCCATCAGGGCAGTCTTATCCATCTATCTCCAGTGGATCAGCACAGTGTCTGGCACAGCTGAGGCACTAAATAAATGCTGCTCAGTGAATGAACTGATCAAATTACAAAGCCACTTCATCAATGTGCTAATATCACACACAAGGTCTCTATAGAGTCCACAGAAATTCTTATGCTATTTCATTTTCTCTACACATACGTGCAACATAGATCAACAATTTCACTTTGAAAAAGCTTGTTCCACACATTCTGTTGTATGCCATCCCATGCCCCTGGCATTAGCTATGTCCAGACTTTTAACTTACCAGTTGGATAGGTCGTATTGACATGATTATGTTATTTGATCCTCCCCAGTCAAAAAAGCATTTGTATTTCCCTTTCTCTAAAATGTACTGTTCTCCACAGAAAAACTTCTGCTGGTAGGCAACCCACCTAGTAGGGGGAAAAGGAAAAAGAACAGAGGTGATGTAGAATCGAGCAACCCACAATTTTAAACAGCAGAGAACATTTAAAGGTTCTCAAGGGAGGAGACAACTTACACTCCACTTTTAACATGAATGGATCTTGTTTCAGTGCCAAAGCCCGTTTCTTCTAAGTCAGAAATTTCCTGATTTTTAATGTCAATAAACTTCCCACTTTCCAGGTCAGATTCAAACAGTGTGATGGAAGACTCTATAAAATTCTAAGAGGAGGAAGAGAAAAGTTTAGAAAATGCATGAATTTTGTTTTATGGCTTGCTAAATCTTTGCACAATTTTCACATACTTGTGAGATAATTTTCACAAACACAGCTCCAGGAAGAATTTTAAATGGTATTGGGAACAACTGTAATAGTCACTATTCCTAAATAGTTTTAAAAACTAAGCCTCAATTTTTACTTTAATCAGGAAAACATACCATTTTTATATAAGTTGAAATTAGTTAACAGTTGGTAAATTGCTAGGACTTACAGGCTACCATATGCAACACTACTTGTAAAGGAAACTAAAGTCTCACTTATGCCTAAAGATCAAAGGCTGCATTAAACAAAATGGGCAACAAGGGGGAGGATTTGATGTGCTTAAATGAAATGTGGAAAATAAAGTGCTTGACAAAAGAAAAAATTATTAAAAAATTAAATTGAGAGAAAATGCTCTAACTGGTTTGGCTCAGTGGATAGAGTGTCAGCCTGCAGACTAAAGGGTCTCAGGTTCAATTCCGGTCAAGGGCATGTACCTTCGTTGCGGGTACAACCCCAGTGGGGAGTGTGCAGGAGGCAGCTAAATCCATGTTTCTCTCTCATTTATGTTTCTAATTCTCTATCCCTCTCCCCTTCGTCTCTGTGAAAAAAAATCAATAAAATATATTTTAAAAAATAAAAAATAAAAAATAAACTGAGAGAAAATTGTAAAAAGTTTTAATCAGACATGTTTGAAACAAAATCATCAGAAAAACTCTAAGACCCAAATTGATAAGTCAGCAAATAACACAGACATTTCACAAAAAAATTAAAAACAAATAAGAAAATTGTGTCAATTGTTTTATTTTGAATTTCACTAATAAAAATAAATTCAAAATAAAAGAATTGAAACAATTCTCACTTTTTAAATTAAGATAAGAAGGATCTTAAAAAACCAGTTTTGTCAGGGAACACTCCTGGTGGAAACATACATTGGACAGCTATTTTAGAAAATAATATAGAATATATTTAAAAGATTGATATTGTTCACACTCTTTGAGCCTGAAATTAATCCCCGCCTTTTTTAAGTTGAGCTTTTTAAAGAAACTAAACAGTAGGCAATTTATATGCAAAGATGCATTGTTTGTAATAGTGAAGAGCTGTAGACAATGTAAATGTCCAAAAGATGCATCAAGATAAACTTTTATGCATCTACCACTTGATGGAATAAATATAATTATGAAGAGTTTTTTAACAAGCTAACAGTGAAATATATTCTACACTTATTACTGGCCATGAGTTTGATGTGCATTATTTTCAAATGAGCAATCAAATGAGATTATATTACTTTCATCCCCATTGTACAACTAAGAAACGGAGTGATATATAATTATACTGAGTAATATATAAAAACTAGAGGCCCGGTGCATGAAATTTGTGCACAGGTAGGGTCCCTAGGCCTGGCCAGCAATCAGGGCCAGTCAGGGCCTTCTGGCTGCCGGCGGGGGCCTCCCTTCCACAGTTGCTGGCCAGGGCCTTCCTTCATTCTGTGCCTCCCCCTGGTGGTCAGCGCACGTCATAGTGAACGACTGAACTCTCGGTCTCCATTCAAACTCCTGAGAGGACATGTGCATATTATCCTTTTATCCTATATAATAAAGAGCTAATATGCAAATGGTCATCACACCCTCACGCTGTCACGCCGTAACGGCTCAGACACTCAACACTGAGGAGAGAGGAATGGGGACCAGCCAGGCACAAATGAGCTCACAAGAGAGAAATGGGGACCAACCAGGCTGCAGCCCGGGAGAGGGACAAGTACCCGCCCCGCGATCCCAGGCGCCAATGGCTGCACCTGCACCTGCGGCCCGAGAGAGGGACAAGCCGCCTGCCCCGCGGCGTGGCGGGGTCTGGGGTCCCGGGTTTCACACTATTTCCTGCGGGTCTGGGTCTCACGCGATTTTGCGTGCTGGGTCACTAGTATATATAGAAGATTGATATAACATACTAATACATTATATCAATATTATACACACACACAGAGATGAGGAAATCAAGGCTTTAATAGCCTGTAAGTGACTTGCCTTAAAGTCCCCTGAATAAGCCTCCTAACTGAAGGATGAAGTGTATAGCCCGGGTGTCACATCAACAAACCTGGCTGTACTGACAGCATACACTTCCAGCGTGAACATGGCTTTGTCTCTTGCAACCTGAGAACGCATAATTAGCTCGAGGCAGTTGGGAACCAGTATCAACAGCCACCTACCAAGTCAGGCCCAAACAAAATGGGAAGGTCTTTTATCAGCTCTCAATTTTATGGCTCTCTCCCCTCCTTTCCTCCCTCCCTCCTTCCCTCCTTTCTTCCATCTCTCCTCCCCTCCCTCTCTTTCTCAGGTCACTCTGGAATGCTCCAACTCTGCTTCTATTACCTACTCTACTCTGGGTTAGGGTTTCAGGAAGGGGGGTGCAGGGATAAACTGAAATATACCATATGTCATTCATTATATTATGTTGGAATCAAATGGGACAAAGACAAAAAATAGAGATATGTGCATACTTAACGTGTTTGTGCCCTTTCATGAAAATAACTTGTGTTACTATGTGATGTGCTCTACTTGAGCAATGACTTGCACAAATCAACTGTGTGGGTTGTGGGCGATGACCATAGTGAGGAGGGCGAACTGGGAAGCAGGCTGGAGGGACAGGCCATTTGACCACAATGCAGCCCAGAGCCGAACAGAGGAATCTGCTGTCAAAAGGGCCAGGTGCAAGTGCTGACAGTGTATGCATTCACAAATAAATTTACTCCCTGCCCAGCCAATGTGGTTCAGTGCTTGAGCTTCAACCTATGAACTAGGAGGTCATGGTTTGATTCCCGGTCAGGGCACATGCCTGGGTTGTGGGCTCAATCCCCAGTGTGGGGCGTATAGGAGGCAGCTGGTCAATGATTCTCACTATTGATGTTTCTATCTCTCTTTCCCTCTCCCTTCCTCTCTGAAATCAATAAAAATATATTTTAAAAAATTTACTCCCATGGCTTGAGTGTGTGTGTCCTTCCTGCTCTGTCTACCAAGGGCCATGGGAATCTCCCAAGTAGCATTGCTCTCCTCTTTCCAGCTTTGGCTTTTGGTGCCTATAGCTCTTGCCTTCTGTCTTTTGTAAGTACCCTTCTGAACCACTCTCCTAGTTTTGAGCTTCTCTGCATTTTTCCTGAAACCTACCAAATATACAATATCTGATCTAGTTGACTAGCTGCCATCACTATGGTGCCCCTTCCAGGCAGAGTTCTAACTCTAAGCCAACTCCAATCATCTGTAGCTAAACCTCCAGGGTCATGTGTACAAAGCATGGCATGAAATATTTAAAGAAAACACACCCCAAAACAAAAAAATTGTAAATGTCTTGTTCTGGCGGTAACTGCAACAGGCCCTCAGAGTTACAACATCCTGAGTAAGCCCCACGAGGTTACCAGGTCACTGCCATCCCACTTTATTGGGCACAATTAAATAACGTCGGAAGTCATACTGATTTAAATGGGGCTTTACAGCTGGAGAAGAATGAATAATGATGGAATGACCTCAACTCTATATTCCACTTTATTTTTTCAAAGCACTGACATCCATTGAAAAATCGGGATAGTTTAATAGTTTCTCAGTACAGTACTCCTGCTGCTAAGAAAATGAATGAGCAGCTGCCGCAGGACCAAACAGCCTTAAAGATCAGAAATTTGATTATTTTTAATTTCCATAACATCCCTCAGCTGACTGGGTGCCAGAGCTTTTGCGCTAAAAGCCCCGTGGACGATGAGACATGGGACACCAGTGGAGATTGAGCATACCCATTACTTTAGGAGAAAGACCTCCTCTGCATTCCACCTGGCTTCAGAAATTTGAAAAGGGGCCCAAAGTCTGAAAATCGTAACAAAAACAAATAAAAAAGCTAGTGGAAAACAAGTCTATCAAGACAGTTTCGTTGAGAAAGCCAAAAAATAAAAATTCCTTCCTTAATCCCTGAAGTCTACTGCTATATTCCTTCTGGTCTTGTCCTTTAAAAAAAATACTCAACTCCAAGTCAACACATCTGCCTGACTCATTTGGAATTAGGAACACATTTCTGGTTGTACTCTCCAAAGCACGCTGGGACACAGATCACATTATCCCTAAGGAACTCATCCCGGGTTTGACCTTAGTAGAATCCAGAGTGTTCTGCATACTGGAGCCAAGACATTAGAAAACTGCATTGTATTACGCAGTTTTCTGTCCTTTTGTTTATTTTATATTACCTCAACTTACATCTGAAAATGTAGCATTTCACTCTTTCTAAGGTTAGAGACATCTGAGAGTCTCCTACTTATGTAGGTCTGTGACAAAGGCTTTAAATCCTGTATCTAAATACTGTATTACTTAAAATTTTCAATGAGGGTAGACCTTATTATCACACATAAAAAAGTAATAATAAAGGGTATGGAAGAAAATTTGGGGAGATGACTAATATGTCTATGGCTCTGATGGTGGTAGATGGTTTCACAGGTGTAATTTATCCCCAAACTCATTAAATATGCACAGGTGGCACTAGTCGGTTTGGATCAGTGTTTAGAGCGTCTGCCCTTGGACTAAAAGGTCATGGGTTTGATTCCAGTCAAGCGTACATACCTAGGTTGCAGGCTCAATCCCTGCCCTAGTCTGGGTGTGTGCAGGAGGCAACCAATCAATGTGTCTCTCTTACATTGATGTTTCTCTGTCTCTCCCCTCCCTTCTACTTTTTCTAAAAATCAATGAAACAAATATCCTCAGGGGAGGATAAAAAATAAACAAAAAAATAAAAAGAAATATGCACAACTCTTTACATGTCAAGCATGCCTCAATAAAGTGAACTCTCCCATTATATACTTAAAATACTTTACTTGAAATATTTTTAAGTAAAACTTGATAAGCAAGTTTTTAAAAGCATTTTCATAATATAAACATATTTAAATTCTAAATTTTCTAAATATGTACAGATTTGTTCATATATTTCATCTGAAATATTTTGTGGACATAAGTTTATAAGTAAACTGTCTGAAAGTTCATGTAAATAATTACTTATTATAAGTATGTGTATTGTCTGCAATGTGACATATCTTTACAGCCACAAATGAAGTGCCAATAAACCTCCGGTTGAATGAGATCCAGTTTTCCATTGTTAAGTGCTGTGTTAGTCTAACCATTTTGTAAAAGAGGAAAAGGAATTATATGGCACTAGAGGCCCGGTGCACAAAATTTGTGCATGGGGGAGGGGGGAGGCGGGTCCTTCAGCCTGGCCTGCACCCTCTCCAATCCAGGACCCCTCGGGGGCAGGCGGCTTGTCCCTCTCTCGGGCTGCAGCCTGGCTAGTCCCCATTCCTCTCTCATGAGCTCATTTGTACCTGGCTGGTCCCCATTCCTCTCCCCCTGGTGTTGAGTGTCTGAGCCGTTATGATGTGATGGCGTGAGGGCGTGATGACAATTTGCATATTAGCTCTTTATTATAAAGGATAGGCTCCAGAGTAGGCAGATTTTCCCTTAACTCACAGCTTTACACTCGGGCACAGTATCTCTCAGGTCCTTAGTTTCTGAATCTGTAAGACTGAGAGAACGTATGTATGCCTTTGTGACGATTAAGTATAAGCATGAAAGTAAGGTCCTTGACAAATGTTAGAATATTATAATGAGGATTATGAAAACATCTTTAACTATAACTTAATAACTTACCTTTTAACTTGAATTTAAGGAGAATAGAAGATCTTCTTGAAAGGGTACTTTTACTTATTTTTGTAAATGCCACAAATTTTGTATGCAGCACTAATTAACATGCCAATTTTTCCAATATAGATTATCACAGAGTCTATATCAAATATTTCATAATTATGTAGCTCTACAGGGTGGGGCAAAAGTAGGTTTACAGTTGTATCTACTTTCAAATACAATAAGTAAATAATAATACAAAATAATTATTGCACTCGAAAGTGGCTACAACTGTAAATCTACTTTTGTCCCACCCTGTACAGTTATAGTATTCATATATTTTCATGTCTTCTACTATTGGTAGATTTTAATTAGTGAGATGAGGTTTGTTTTTTTGTTAGCTTGCTTTAGTCACAGTCATCTTTGGAAGATATCATCACATTCATTTCTAAACATTTCTAGGATCAGCAATGCTTCCACTCAATTCTTTTTGAAATAAGGAGGGAAAAGAAAATTTTGATACAAGGTGGAAGATGCATCGAATCATGACCCACAGTTTACTCAAAGAGTGGGGTCAACAACCTTAAAAAAAATATTGAAGACTATCTTGTTTTGTCTTGCTTGCCTTTTATTTTATTATTATTTTTTTAAAATATATTTTATTGATTTTTTTTTACAGAGAGGAAGGGAGAAGGATAGAGAGTTAGAAACATCGATGAGAGAGAAACATCGATCTCTCGTTAGAAACATCCCCTACTGGGGATGTGCCCACAACCAAGGTACATGCCCTTGACCGGAATTGAACCTGGAATCCTTCAGTCTGCAGGCCGACGCTCTATCCACTGAGCCAAACCAGTTAGGGCTTGCTTGCCTTTTAGTGCTCAGGTAAGGAGTGGCTAGGTAGAGAAAACCACTGGTCACTGTATATTGTGGACTAAATACCTCAAAAGTTGCCTATCTGTCACTCAAGTAAACTCAGTGCCCAGTCTTCAGTGGATTGCCCTGTATTTCTGTCAAGTAGAACTGGTTTCCAACTCTTATGGACAAGGATGTTTCATGGAAAAAAACAACAACACACACACAAAAAAAGCTCCTTTGTCCCTGTGCTCCTTTCCCATTCTGGCTCCTCCTGTCTGGCCAGGTGAGGGGTTGCAGCAGAGCTGCTGCTGGCCCTGACACACAGACCAGAAGGGCCAGAGCACACAACCTCTGCGCTCACCCTGTGCTCAGTGCACGTGGACCCACAACCACCCTTCGCTTCATTATCAGTTCCTTCCAAGAGGGCTTTCACTATGCCAGAGTTTAGAGTTCATATGGGTACAGATTATTTTGGAAAGAGACTGCAGTGGGAATGCCTCAATCGTAAGAAAACATGCCCCTCTGAGCATATTAGAGTCTGCAGGGCTGGCCAGAGAAATGAGCCACATTTGAGAAGGCCTGGTATCCTACAGAACTCTATCATTCACCGCCTCTTCTCTACAGCTTCATCAGCTTTCACTGGAGTCCTGCAAGGTCCTGGTCCTCTTTTCTCCAGACTTCCTTTACACCATGCCATTTCTTGATACAGTCACCAAAAAGATCTTTCTAAACCACTAATCTAATCATACTCGCTAGGTCTAAAATCCATCAGTGGCTCATTATCAAGTTAAGAAAAAAAAAACTGAACTCTTCAACATGGCATATGAGGCCCTGCATTATCTGCCTCTGGACTCATCTTCCCAAAGTTCTCCCTAATACCCTGACTTACCTGCATTCCCTGCCCCCCCACCCCCATTACTTAATATGGCAGTTTCTCAACCTCAGCACTATTAACATTTTAGGTCAGAAGATTCCTTCTTTGCTGGGGGTGGGAGGTGGGGTAAGAGGGGTTGCCCTTTGAATTGTAGGTGTTCAGCAGTATCCCTGGCTTTTACCCACTAAATGTCAGTAGCATGCCCCCGCCCCCAATCACGACAATACTAAATTTCTCCAGACACTGCCAATGGCCCCTAGAGGGTAAAATCACCCCAAACTGAGAACCACTGGCTTACATCCTTGCCTTTATATGTGTTACTCTCTTACTGAAACAGCACCTATCTTTCCCCTTCACCCTGTCCTGAATTTCTTCACCTGGTAACTCCTGAACTTGAAATTTCAGCTCAGCTGTCCTCTTCACTTCCTCTCACTTCCAATAGGAGTAGCTGACCTTTTTCTGAGTACCCTCAGTACTCTGTGCTCAAGGCAATCACCGTCAAACATCAAACAATGCTGTAAGCGTCGTTTCCCTATCAGACTGCCTGCTCTATGAGGGCAGGGCTGAGTCTCTGGCCACTGTATCTCCAGCACCTGGCACAATCCAGCTATCAAAGCAGGTGCTCAAAAATGTGGAATCAATAGGTAAAAAGTAAATGCAAGTATTCTGAAATAATCATGGCAGTTAGAAAAACAGGCAAGGGGGGGGGAGGTAGAAGAAGGTAAAGGGGGGATAAATGGTGATGGAAGGAGACTTGACTTGGAGTGGCGAACACACAATATACAGATGATGTATTATAGAACTGTACCTATAATTTTATTAACCAATGTCACCCCAATAAATTCAATTAAAAAACAAACAAACAAAAGACAGGCACGTCACATAAGCAGTTTAGTTTAGTGCCCTCAGGTTTTAGAAAGATGTTAAAACCTCATGTTGTATCAGAGATCATGTCCAACTTTTACAGAAAAATAAAGAGAGAAATTAAGAATTTGGGAGCTAACTCACAGCTTGTAAGTACCGGAAAGACAAGATGGGGCCGCTCAATGCCCCATAAGCATGTCTGTCTTCAAAATCTCCTTCTTCAAGCAAGAATTGTTGGCCTTTAAAATGTTCTTTTTCATAGGCAACCCACCTAGAAATACAGAGGACACCAACTGAGCTATTCATTCGTAAAACTGTAGTCAAGAACGCAAGGAAAAAAATCATGATAAAGCACCCCGTTGCAAATCACAGTGTTTTTAAAAGCAACATATTTGGTTTGTTACCATTTACAAAGACAAATGGTATACGCTCCATGGACCAGTAATTTTTATAGTTTGCAGTCTCTCCCACCAAAAGGTCAACTGTTGCAGAATTACAACAAAGCAGTGCTCATTAATGCATGTGGTGTGGCCTGATACCACATCTCAAAATGGTTGAAGAACAGTTTACCAAGTAAAAAATAATGGAAAGCACAAATAGGCAATGAGACAAATTACAAACCCACAATGAGATGCAAAGATAGTCACTCCTGTTGTACTGATGAAGCCCTCTGGAATGACAGCATGATTACTATATTACACATGCATTTAGGTTTAGATCAAAGGAGCCTCTCACCAGGCTTCAGCTCTAAAACACATCACACGGGGGTTTGGCAAAGAGAAACTGGGAAGTGCGACCGAGCTGGTATTAGCCTTGGTGGCCTTCGTGCATGCAGAGACTTCTGTAGGTGTTCATGGTGGGAAGTGCTGCTCCCTCCATTTTATCAGTACGTTTCAGGGACCCAGGCTTCTTGACTTCTAATCTACAACTGTCACTAGAGCACTGATAATCACCATTAGGCATTAAGCTCCTCCGTGAAACTTGCATTTTACGGAGTAACCGGTGTAGCTAACGCAGTGTGGGCAAAGACGGGTCACAGTGTGTGTTGACGCGCTTAAACCCTCCCTTCGGCCACACTGTGCGACCAGAGTGGGACCCGCTCCCCTGACACATGCCAAGGGTGACTATTTTGGGCTCCTGGGTTGGGGACTTCTGAATTCTGGAGTTTGACAAACTGAAGCCTGGTAAGGCTACTGTTTGTTTCCTTTCTCCACCTCTACTATAGTTGTGAAGATATAAAAAATATTCCACAGGTTTCCATAGGGTGCAAAACTGCAGGAGCTGCTCAGCAATCATGAATCCTTCCTCACTTTGTGCTGCAGGTGTGCGTACAGCAGGGGAAGGGGGGCACATGAGTTGGAATAAACATGTCTTATACATCTTAATATATTTGTAATGTGTACAGAAACTAGCATTACTTTATTCTTAAGCTATTATGTGAAAATAAATCTTATAAGAACTTTCAAATTCTAAGCTTTCTTTTATATAAATGAGGCTACTCAAAGCAAGCTTTTAATGCATTTGAATGGGACAAATAATAAAAGGTACAGAGGACCAACAGAGAATGGCTCAGTTGGTGTCCTCTGTATTTCTAGGTGGGTTGCCTATGAAAATATTAAAGAATATTAAAGAAGAGATCAGTAAATTTTCATATGACAGTTGAAAATCTTCTGCCCAGTTTTTCTGAATAGATTTGATTAAGATTCAATGTATATATCCATCTGAGATATTAAAATGTAGATGTTATCTGAGAAAAATTAAGAAACATCAACCTCACTTTCCCCAGATCCCTCAAGATGGGAGAGAGATGACGAAGAGCCCTCATATACCACATATAAACAGCTGACAAGAGAAAAATGGTAGAAACACAGAAAAAAATAATGAAGTTAGCTGTTTATCTCTCAATGGGGACATCACATTTTTCTCTGCAGTTGCCATATAAAAATGATAGTATGTACGTTGTATTGTAAGCCATAATATTTTGAGATTTTTATAAAATAATTATAGGAAAGAACAATGACAATCACAATCTAGTTAATGGGAAAAATATTTGGATCCCAGAGGGAAGAAAAGGCAAAAATATTTAGCAAAGGATTAACAAGAAGCATGTGTGTTCACAAATCAGAGGACACCGCAAATAAATACAACCACAATAGAAATGGGTTTGTCCAAGGCATATTTGTTCTTCAATCCCCTAATAAAAATTTAAAATTCAAAAATAATTACAAAATAAAATTGAAAGAAAAAAATAAATGTATTTTTTATAAAAATATATTTACCAAAACAAAACAAAGAGATGATTACCAAAATGTCAGACTAATTATGGATATGACCCACCTATCTAGCATACTGCATAGTCTCTCATAATTCCAATTTGGTTGGTATGGCCACCGCTTGATTTTTTTGCTGGAAATAGCAAATTCTAAGTCTCTAAAATGTAGATGCCTGAGTGATCTTATATGTCATTTAATTTCTATGAATAAAGTATTTTAATAGCATCTTTTGCTAGAGTATCCTGAATAAGTTATACAATGTTAGCATAAGTATCAAGAGGTACCAAGGCTTAAATTAAAATGAACCAAAAAAAAAGAACCAAAATTCCAAATAGACCAGCCGTGGGCAAACTACGGCCCGCGGGCCGGATCCGGCCAGTTTGAAATGAATAAAACTAAAAAAAAAAAAAAAGACCGTACCCTTTTATGTAATGATGTTTACTTTGAATTTATATTAGTTCACACAAACACTCCATCCATGCTTTTGTTCCGGCCCTCCGGTCCAGTTTAAGAACCCATTGTGGCCCTCGAGTCAAAAAGTTTGCCCACCCCTGATCTAGACCAACATATCAACAGAGAGACTAACAAAGTATCTGGAGGGATCAGTACTAGGTTGACAATGGAGAATAAGCTGTGAGAGCTGCTTCTCCCTGGTTTTACCTGCCAGGACACATACAGAAGGCACCGCCCAGTCGGGCCACAGATTTCCTGGGGCTCCTGCCTCAGTAACTGCTGACTCAGACTGAGTTAGCACAATGATGGCTACAATGGGTTTATACTTAGGAGTTCTTTGGGGGCTTCCAAATGCAGTTCGGGGCCACAGGTTAACAATATCAAAATGCCTTACTTTGAAACAGACAACCAGGCTACTTCTTAATGGGGGAGGGCTCACTGTCAGTGTCCTCAGCACAGAGTCAACTAAGAGCAACAGAAGAGATTTTTTATTTTGTGTTGTGTTGACCCTATGAGATCAGAGTGTGTAAGGAAGCTATAGGACAGAATATTCACTAAAAATACTTTAAGCCTGGCCAGTGTGGCTCAGTGGTTGAGTGTCGACCTATGAACCAGGAGGTCATGGTTTGATTCCCGGTCAGGGCATATGCCTGGGTTGTGGGCTCGATTCCCAGTATGGGGCGTGCAGGAGGCAGCCGATCAATGATTCTCTCTCATCATTGATGTTTCAATCTTTCTCTCCCTTTCCCTTCCTTCCTGAAATCAATAAAAATATTTAAAACAAACAAACAGAAAAACTAGGGCTCTCATCCATGTTCATAATCTTTAAGAAAATAATTTTATTTGCAATTCTTATTTCTGTATTGTGATTAGTAATACTAAGTGCTGAAGTTTTGGAAACTATTTTCTATTTAATCTACCTCAAAATCTGTAATGCCAAGAGTTCACAGGAAGCTACTAGTAGCTAATATTTTTTTTATTTCCCATATTATCAAAGGAATTTATATCTTCAGACTAAGGCAGGTGGTTTTTGCTTTGCTTAGCACATTTTCTGTACTGACCTTCATAAACAGACTAAATCAACTATTGAAAATATGACACTCACACTCCACCGATGACACGAATAGATCCAATTCCATGAAAGTCCTCATCATTTTTTAAAAAATTAGGGACAGAATCTATATGTTCACTAAACTCTTTGGCCTGTCCATGGAAGTGAGGTTTTTCATAAATAATAACCTGAAAAATATGAAAGGAAAGTACTTAAATGCTCATATTTTAGAATAGATACACATTAAAGACAACACCATGAATAAGGATCATGGTCTGTTTTTTCATTAATATATACTTACACTAGAGCACAGTGTCTGACAGTTACAAGGCATAAATGAGTCTTTAGCATCACAATGATAAAATATCTTAATAGTATACTTCTCTTATATTAATATACTCAAGTCTGATCACATTGTTCTGGTTATCCAAATCCTATGACCCTCTCATAGGAAAAACTCTCTTATAACTGGTTCTTGAATTATCTTTCTAAGTTTATCCCTGTGGTTAGAATTTAATACAAACCTTCCTTATACTTATGGAATGTCCCCTGTAAGAAATAAAAGTTCTCTTGAGGTTCCAGGGCATAATAATAAATTATCTATGGATTTGAGAAAACATATGCTGTTTCTTATAACGCTGCTTCTATGGTCGTTACTATTTAACGAGAAGAAAGAGACAGGCAAATTCTTGAGTCTAAGTAGAAAACTTCCTAAAAATAAAAAATGATTGAAAAAGTTATAGTATTTTTACTCCATGGTTGATTTAAATTAGGGGGGAGGAGGTAAGTATAGAAGGAAATAAATTTGCAGCATTTCATTTACTTTAAATTTGGATTGGTACAAGTATTTCTTTTCCACTATTTTGATGCTCTTTATTCTCAAATATGAGCTGCCCTTAGTATGTGGAAGTGATAACAGCGCTAGTCTACCCACATACTAGCACTTGGTCCTATTTGTGGCTAATGGCATAATCTGTGCACAACTGGCAACACATGGCCTTGGCAAGTAAGATCCCATGCTCAAACACAGCGAACCAGCAAGTGATAGCTCTTATTATTATTTTCTTTTTTATAAACCTCTATTGCTGTAAGTTTTACACATGTCCCCTCTGTATCCCCCATTGCCCTCTCCTCCCCTCAAAGCCTTTACCACCCTATTGTCCTGTCTATGGGTTATGCGTAGCTCTTTTTTAAAAAACTGATAAAATTATACAGACTGAAGTAAATATGTAGCACTGCTCCTGCAGTTTTCTACCTGTTAATTCTTCACCAGCTGCTGCATTGGAAGTAATGAAATTTTATTTGGGTTTAATACATATGCCGAACACATCCAAAATAAGAAAGAAGCGATAATCCTTTGATGAGTAAGCCATAACTGACATCTAGCACCTTGAAAACTGTGGCTGTCTATGACAGCCATTCCATTCATACACTTCTACAACCTGTCAGACTGCAATGTCCAAGGCAGACCCAACCTGCTGCACCTAAGTTCTGATTCAGCAAGCAAGGAGACTGAGACAGGAGCTATTCAGGGTATGTCCCAGCTAATTCTGCATCTACTAGGTCCCCGGTTTGAAACTTTGGTTATAAGTTAGAATCACTGGGGAAGCTCTGCAAAATATGATCACCCCCAGGACCAAACCAGTACCTTTGTGAGTGGAACCCAGGCATAAGTATTTTTTTAAAACTCAGATATGTGTGATTCCATCATACAGCCAAAATGTTTTAGACACACTCAGATATTGAGTTCCAAAAGACTCCATCTAGAGAGAATGGTAGTCAATTCCACAAATTAGGAAGCCCCCAAATGGGAGGTTTGGATGCTGTGTGTCTGTTTGGAGGAAAGAATGGATCAATCGCTGCCCACCCCTGCCCCTGGAGGTGCCGTGCCCTCATTACACAGAGGCCTGTTGGCAGCTTTTCTCACTGCACTTTTATCTTCTGATCTCTCCTTAGACACATGTTATAATTCTATTTCTTCCTTTTTCCCCCCAAATGTGCTTAATCATGGCACCGCTACCACTCTAGTTTTCATCGCCTCTATCCTTCCCTTTAAATACTCATGATTTAAAAACTGCCGTCTACCTGACAGAGCTATCTACACCTTCTAACCATCCTGGATCTCCTTGAGCATCATCCCAAGTGCCTGCTAAGTAGCTCCACCTGAATATCTAGCTGCGACCTATACCCCACCTCAAACAAAAATCAAACTTACCACCTTTCCACGTGTCAGTAGGTGCTTATTGGGCTTGACTGGGTTTTCAATACAGACCTGGGCTTTTGTGCTGTCACTTCCCCCCACCCCAACATTCACAAGCTGGGCATTGATAACATATATTCGGGTAACTGTTTTCAATTTTAACAGTTCGAATTACACAAAAAATTAATACTCAATCTTTTTTAGCCTACTACATCAGCCTGTTCCAAACTTACCTTTAAGTTCATGGGCATTTCCACTTTTAGTCCACCCTTAAGATAATAAGAAATTTTAATGTTAAATATATAAACATTTAAAACATTTGAAAGTAACTATGTGACATACATATATAGGTTATATAAAAATCTGATTAGTGAAGATTATGTACCAGTTAAATTTAAGTTGTGGTAAATTTAAAATTTTAAGAACAGAACTCTATAATAGTTAAAATCAAGCCAGACTTCTCTACATCAATGTAGATGGGGTAGGAGATATTAAAAGATACTTTCCAGTTTGGCCAGTGTGGCTCAGTGGTTGAGCAATGACCTATGAACCAGGATGTCATGGTTTGATTCCCAGTCAGGGCACATACTTGGGTTGTGGGCTCAATCCCCAGTGTGGGGCGTGCAGGAGGCAGCCAGTCAGTGATTCTCTCTCATTATTGATGTTTCTCTCTCTCTCTCTCCCTTCCTCTCTGAGATTAAAAAAACATATATATTATACTTTCCAGATTACAACAACAACAAGGAAGGAAACAGAACTTCAGTCCTAAGCACACATGAGTAATTAAAGATTTAATCCCAAGTCCAAAAATAAGAGTGGAATTGTTAGATTTAAAAACCTCATTTGGCAGAAGAGATTTCTAAAGCACTTATTACTAAAAGTCTTCTCTACAATTGCTTGGGCTTTTAAATCAGAGAGAGCACTTCCTCTTCCACGTTCTGTCAATACTTTTTAGCATACTTAATGTCTTTTTGGCTTCAAGGTTGTAGAGCAAGCATGTCAAACTCATGGCCTACAGGCCACATGCCTTGTTTATTTGGCCCGTGTTAGCCTCTGAGTTTGAAATGCTTGTTGTAGAGCATAAAAAGTACCTTTCTTCTTACAAAAGAACTAATTCTATAATCTACTTGTTTCTAATGCTGTCCCACATTATAATATTTCTTAAAATTTCTTAGTTTGTTCTCAATTTTTAAAAAAGGCACAAAACCACCAAATATGCCTTTATCACACAGGTAACATTTAATTAACACTTTGCACCTCAAATAAAAATGTTTGCAAGAAAATAAACATTGAAAGTACTTATCTTTAAGAAAGCCACCAGTGACAGACTGCCCATTTACTACTAATGCTGAGCTTAGCATGCATTACTACAATTGAAGAGTATAATTTATTAGTAATTTATAATAAGCATAAAAAATTCAAAACTTTATTAAACAGTCAAAAATTTCACAGAATATTTATAAAGAAATTGCATGTACTGTTATAAACTTAGCACAAAATAAATTAGACATTTGTCTTCTGGGAAAAAATTAAAATTTCTCACATGGATATTCTCTACAATATAAAGAAACAGAAAAACAATGAATTCATAGTTTGTTAGTTCAGTAGTATTCACATTCATTTCTCAGGACTGACATGCATGAGCAATCATCAGAGCTATTTAATTTTGGATTCATGGGTATTTGGAAAAATGTTTCCTTTTACATTTGCTTACCATTTGAAGTGGATGCAATGATTTCATTTCTGCTGCAGAAATCTCAAAGAGTCCATGGCCTTCCTCCAAAATTGTAGCTTGCCCCTTAAAATTAATATCTGGGTAGGCAAGCCAACTAGAAAGAAAGGAATGACTGGTTAAAGTATAACAGGAATACCTTAGTCTGGTTCTGTAAAAGTTAAAAGTTAAAAGGGCTATGTAAAAACAGAACAAAAATCCATCATGGAATTATGCTAATAAACTCACTCAAAGTGACTGTGCCAACAAGAAACAACAAGTTAACATGCTATTAAGTACTTACATTCAAACACTACCGATCCTGTAATAAGTCTACCATATGTTTTCCAAGCATTAAAAGTTTCCAATACGTCAAGTCAAGCAGAATATAAGTGAAGTATCAATTCCATGCCACCATGTTCCATTCTTTTGAAAACTGGAGCTATCAGAGGTAGGGATTCCACTAGGCATCTTACAACTTTGACCTACATTTTTAGAATCAGTTATCAGTTCTACTGGCTGCCTTAGGAGCAGTATGTGAATAAGACTCCCCAAAGACTCATCTAGCTTCCACCTAAATTTGATAATTACAGATATTGCTCATGGATAGGGTTAATTCCTGGGTCTGCCCAAGAGTTCTAATCCATGGTTGGGGAATATGAAGAAAGACGTCCTACAATGACCCCAAAATTCTACAGCACCATCGTCAAAGCAGATGAAAACAGTGAATGAAACAAGAGAGATCCATGTTGAACCAGGCATCACAGCATCTTTGAATTAAGACTAAACTCAGACCCATACTTCTGAAGATACCTTTGGAATCAGAAACGCCAAGCCTGAGCCCAACCCCTTAATTGCCTTATTTATAACATGAGCACAGCTCCACCTGCCTTGAAGGCATAGAGGAGTAATAAACAAAAAGGCACCATGTCCCTGGCACTGCAGAGGCACTCAGCAACTACTAGCACTGAGACACTCCAGAAATAGTTCAGGCTGCAGAATTTTAGGCCAGGGACACACTTTTATTTCTAAGTCCTAAAATTTGGTGGAGAAAAAGAGATGGATGCATCGATTGATCGAGAATGGTGTGTGAGACCGTATATGCTCCTGTGAGCCATACAGCAAAGACTTAATAGGAGCCAATGAGAGAGAATCTATTTCGTCCCTGCAGCAGTATTTCTTAGGTATCCAGGGGCACAAAGGAAATGAACTTACACTTCAGAAATATGTGTGTCACTTACTGAAATATGAAACAAAAAGTTAACTTTGGTGGCCATCACTGAAATAAAGAGAAATGGATACATACACTCCAGACTTCACAGTGAAGGACACGTATTTGGGGATATCCAGCTCTTCTAAGTTAGGGACTGCTCGCTGTATGCAGACAGGACAACATGGTGGGTCAGACTGCAGGCAAAGTTCTATCTCCGGAATACTGCAATCCTGGAAAAAAAATTGGTTTTGAAATCATCTAAGAAACACACAGTCCAGTGTTCCAGCACCCTGCACACTCAGTTACAACTATTATCATTGCTCAGTTAAATTTCTTCACAGGGCAACATAAAAGAAATACTGTTTCCCCATACCAGTTTTTTAAAATAAATTTTTCGTCTTGAAAAAAAAATTTTTTTTTACATTTGTCAATTACAGTTTACATTCAATATTATTTTATATTAGTTTTAGTGTATAGCATAGTGGTTAGACATTTATATAATTTATGAAGTGATCCCCCCAATAAGTCTAGAAGCCACCTGGCACCATACATGGTTATTACAATATTTTTCATTATATTCCCTATGTTGTACTTTACATCTCCATGACTATTCTGTAACTGCCAATTTGTCCTTCCTAATCCCTTCACTTTTTCACCCATCTTCCCAACCCCCTCCTATCTGGCAACCAATACATTTTTCTAAGAAGTTATGCTGATATGATGAAAATTATAAATATTAGTGTTTGAAAAAGTATTACTTCAATATTTTCTGCTTTGTTTTTAGAAGTCTTGTTCCATGAAGCAATGCTCAGAGTTACCAAACTATCTGAGTGCCAAACACCTGTAAGCCTTCCTTCTTAGAAGCACAACAGAGCCACAGGGAGGAAAGGTTAAGTAAAAGCTGATCTCATGAGCAACATTAAAAAATAAATAGCAGAGAGGTACTACACCTTCAGTGTGTCATCTAATTTACATTGACAAAAGAGGTAGGAATTAGAGATGAGGGTAAAGGAAATCTGTTTTTCTACTTGTGGCATTTTATTTTCTTTAGTACAAGTTGACTTGAAGAAGAAAGGCATTAGGAAATTTGACCTACATTCCAGCACACATCCACTGTCACCACGTCTGTCAAACCTTCCTTAAAATTTCACTTGTGTTTATCTCTTATCTATTCCCATGTTCAAAGTCCTTCATCAAGGCCAAGACTTCGATTATGGGCCTATACCACCAGTCAAGTACCAGCCACTCTTAATACAGCTGGGGTTGTTAGAACACCACTTTCCTCATGGCACTCCTTGGCTCAAGACCCAAGCACATCAAATTTATATTGGTTTCCCTTTCTATAATATGGTACCAACCTAGCAATCTATACTAATCTCCGTAACTCTTCGGTCATACTGGTCTCCACGCTCTCTTCACTCCCTCTCTGGCCTCACTATGCTTTGTAAATGTCTCCCCCATTGAAATTACAGAGATAATCCTCTGTACTCTTACTTATGAAAATCCTATCTAATAACAGACAAACATGGTAATTGACTGTACCTTCGCTACGCCTCCCATTGGCTAATCAGTGTGATATGCAAATTAACCGCCAACAAAGATGGTGGCTAATTTGCATACTGCTGGCAGGGCGGGACAGCGCCATCCCGCCTGCCCTGCCACCATCCAGGCCTGCTATCTGCGACCCGGGGCGGCGGGCGTCCCGTGTGCGACCCGACCTGGGGCAGCTGGGTGGGGCAGCAGCGATCCGCCAGCCCGCCGGGGCATCCCATGTGCAACCCGACCCAGGGTGGCAGGGCAGGACAGTGTGGCTCCTCTGTCACCCCAGCTTCCTCATCAGAGCTCCCTTGGGGTTCTAAGTCTTTAGTCGGACATCCCCCAAGGGTTCCCTGGCTACCAGAAGGATGTCTGACTGCAAGCTTAGGCCTGATCCCCCGGAGAGTGGGCCTAAGTCGACAGGTGGACATCCCCCAAGGGGTCCTGGACTGCAAATGGGTGCAGGCTGGGCTGAGGGACCCCCTCCGAGTGCACAAATTTTTGTGCACCGGGCCTCTAGTCTTTAAATAGTCAAGTTCTAAGTAAAAAATGACCTCAACTTTTCTTAGGGAATCAAAACCACAATTATTTTCCCTTCCTGAAAGTACAGATGTGCTTCTTTCTGAACACACAGTCTATCTCAGTAGGTGTGGGTGTTTTATTCTATGATTTAAGTTTCAGCAGCAAAATTCTCATCTAGGTCATCATGAAATTCAAATGACTATACTTTAATAAAATAGGTAAATGCAGTTAACAATCAGAGGTGACACTTACTGGACTGAACAATTGTATTTTTTATCACAATCAATTTTGCAATTTTAAAACTGTAAATTTCTAATTTTTTAACCTTTCTCCAAACTGAGTTCTCTTATTAATCATTACTAATAATTCTCCCTATGTAAAAGCAAGCAAATTGATACATTTTATTTTCAGAAAGTTAGTTCTAAAATGCAATACAGTAAAAAGCCATTACCTAAAACATTCTTTAAAGTATAAAAATTTATTTCCTTCTAAAGTTTCATTTCAAAAACAGCCAGAAATGTCCAGAACAGTCACCTGTCAATCTTCAAGGCTCTTTTGTTTGCTGTGAATAATAGAGTTCTAGGAACAGAACTGTGCCATACTCATGTTCCCCTGGGGTTTGGGGGCAGGAACAGAGCATAGAACTAAGTGTCTCACACAAACAAGCTTCCTCTGCATTGTGCTGTACAAACAATGTTTGGGTGGTGCACTTTAAAAGGGAAAAAGCTAGGAGGCATTCAAGTCCACCACAACACAGGAGGAAACAGCATAATGGAACATGCATGACAATGGCTAAAAAAAATGAAAAAATAAACAAAAATAAGAACGCTTAAGCTCTCAACTGTCTTTAATAGAGGATCAATATTTTTTCTCCAGTTGATTGAAAAATTTTTCACTAAGTTCTAGCTTCTTTATGGTGTCTACTCAAGAAATAAAGTCTTTTGCAAGACTTGCATAATTCTAGATGGTCAAAGGTAGTAAACACTAGCGACCGAAGGGTGCTTTACAGTAGCCTAGCAACAATAAACAGTTTACTCTCAGTAAAGAAACATTTATATGGCTTCCTTCCAGACTTTTCTAGTCATGATTTACTTTACAAATATATTTTGGTGAAATTTGCCAGCTTAGACTATTAAAGCAATTAGTTGGAAGGGAGACAAAGCTGCAGGATAGAAAAAGAGTGGGAATGAATTGCAGTTTAAAAAAGAACAGTATGAAAATCTACTTGTCTCCACCTCACATAAATACTTCAGTCACTGATCTAACATCTCTCTTCTTGGTTCATTAATGAGGACACAACCTATGTAACTTCTGACCATAAGAAAAATGTCATTCCGTAAAAAAAATTAAATGCATGGTAAACACAGTATAATTTGCAATATTCATATCCTCTATTTGAGGAAAGAAAACACTTGACTCAAGACTCACTGCGCTGCTATCCCACCCCCAGTTATTTTCACTGGGGCAGAGATGACGTTAGAGCAGATTCCACAATAATGGATGGCACCTGATCTATTCACAGCAAAGTGAAAAACACCACTGGAAGTATTATCTTTAAAGAACATTAAAGTTTTGACTAGTCCGAGTACAGCATCTAAAAGATGACGAAACAAGGTAAGTTGGCGTGGGCCTCGGTGAATTTGGAATGGCCACCATGAAAGTGAAGTTATCCATAACCAGCATTTTGACACTGTTGGAGAAAGGAAGCAGTTTGATGCTCAATTCTTACTTTGTTAAATACTTAGAACAATGCTAATGCCTTTTCCATTCAACGCTCAATAGTTTTATTTTCCTTCCTCACTGAAAGTTGCTAGCCTGTTCGAGATATGTGGGCACTAACACTGCAATTTAAATAAGATTCCAAGAACAAACAATGGAAGAAGGAAAAAATGCAAGCATGACTTATTCTTTCTTATAATATATTCTAAGCAAATGACAGATGTGCAAATACCGCTTTATAGACATTCTTAACAGACTGTTTTTTTGTTTGACTTTATTATTGTTTGATTGGGTGGAGTGGGTTAGGAGGTAGCTGCTTACAACATCTTATTCATCTTTCTTTCCTCACCAGGCCTGGCATGGTGCCTGGCACTCACAAGGAGGGCACAAAACCATGTTATTTAAATCTTGGACGATTCCACCTACAAACTCATTATTCATTCAAGGAATTTCTAGTGAGTCAGCTAATTAAGCGAGCCCTATAGAGAAACACTGTCCTTTATGCCAAACCATTAATCTCCTTGCAGCACCAAAAACACCCTGCCAGGACTCCCTTGAGTTTCCTCCGCTGCCCAACTCCTGTTTATTTTCTCAAGATTCCAATCTGGTGCCACCCCCTCCAGGCAGGTGTCTCTGCTTTGTGCGTCCTTGGGCCTTGCAGATAACTTCTTACATCATGTGGTCGTGTGGCTCCACTGTCTCCCCCTAGACGTTGAATAACCTGAAGCACGAGACTGTATCTCACTTGTTTTTCTATTCCCAATACCCATCACAGTACTGGGTCAAAAAGCAGACACAGATATTTGTAGACACAGGTTTGTTATAGTTTTGCAGAAATACATGCAGACACCCCTTTATGATAATATGAGTTTTTTGGTATGCTACCTACAATTATCAAGAATTTAATAACATCAATTCATATCATAATTTTCCGTTTTAAGCATATAAAAGAAATCTCCATAATTTGAAAAAAAAAGTCTTTTGAGTACCATAGGAGTAATTAAACTAAATCATGTGCTATGTTACTGCTGAAGGAACTTTAAGAAACACGGAGCTTGCTTCCCTTATCTGACATCTGTCATTATCACTAATTCACTCCTCAAACCACCACAGGGCTACCTACAAAATGTGTTTTATACGGAAAGACTTCTCATCTTAGTATGAAATAACATTTTCTAAACAGAAAATAAAAATAGGCAATGCACCTTCGATTCCTCTCCCCATTCCTTCCTTCTCCTAACACTCCCTTTATTTCTCTCCTTCCTTTCTCCTTCCTCCTCCTCCTCCTCCTCCTCCTTCTTCTTCTCTCTCTTCTTCTCTCTCTTTCTCTCTCTCTCTCAGAACTACACAAAGGAGAAGAAATCTATACAGTGGGGCCTTGACTTACGAGTTTAATTCATTCCGTGACGGAGCTCGTAACTCAAATTACTCGTATGTCAAATCTTAAAGTGAGTGAGTGAGACACGTGATGCTGGGCTGATGTTGTGGCGTTCACTGTGACGTTCACTGTGCCAACTAGCGGTGGGGTATCTAAAGCTGGCTCATAACCCAAATTTTAGCTCGCAACTCAAAGCAAAAAATCGGCCGAGAGACGGCTCGTATCTCGAAAAACTTGTTAGTCGGGACACTCGTAAGTCAAGGCCCCACTGTACTAAAAAAAAGATATTTGGAAATATCAATTATTTTCCTAAAGATACCTGATGATATCTTTCTACTGCTATTAAAAAACTATATAAAAGCCTAAGCGACCGAATGACCAGTCAGCTGGTTGCTATGACGTGCACTGACTGCCAGGGAGCAGATGCTCAATGCAGGAGCTTCCCCGTGGTGGTCAGTGTGCTCCCACAGCCAATCTCCCGTGGCCGGTCAACCTCCCACAGTCCCTCCCCCCAGCCAGCCAACTTCCTGTGGTCCCTCCGCCCAGCAGTCCAGTCCCCCCGCCCCCGCCCTGATTGGCCCCAATCACTGGCTAGGCCAAGGGACCCCAACCGTGCACGAATTTGTGCACTGGGCCTGTAGTATATATATAATACCATGTACGATTTTATGGCCCAGATTACAATTAATACTTTAAATTAGCATTCACTTAATATGTATAATATGAAATATTATAATTAATACTAGAGGCCCGGTGCACAAAATTCGTGCACTTGGTGGGGGGAGGGGCGGGGGGAGGGTCCCTCAGCCTGGCCTCTGCCCTCTCACAGTCTGGGAGCCCCACGACTGATCACTCCAAAGAGGTAGAATCCACCCACCCAGCCGGGTTCCTCAATGGATTACCCCTGCAGAGGGAGGCCCCGCCCACTTGATGCAGCCCACCGGTTCGTGGCCTGGGCCTCCCTTTGTAGGGCGATCATGGAGCGATGGCCGGGCCCCCGACCAATCACATCGCACCCGCCTTGGCTGGCCTGGTGCTAGTGGGTGTCATAGTGCGGTCATCCGGAAGGTCATTCGGACAGTCATTCTGCTGTTCGGTTGTTTGGTTGATTTGCATATTACGCTTTTACTATTATAGATAACAAAGATCAATGAAATTAGCACAAATTATGGCAACCATTTCTAAACATTGCTAGGCCAAAGTACAGCTTTACTACGTGACAAACAAAACAAAATAAAAAATAGAAGAAATCAACAGTTCTCTTACCTTTATAACACGTTTGATAGAACCCAATACAAAGTTTCTCTGTGGATGCATTCTGTTCTGAAGGATCCAGTCACGATTTAGTACCTTTTCTCCTTCTTCTAACACACATTTCTGACCTTGGAAATGTGGTTTCTCATATAAAATCCAGCTGGAAAAAAAAAAGCATGATCAGTTATAATTGATTTTCTAAGAAATGAAGCATAAAGCAAAAAAAAAGTCATAGACCATTTTATCTTTTTGCATTTTTAAATCTGGGTGATTTTCTACTATTAGCATAAAATCCTATTTTTGAAATGATATATATGCTAGTTTAAGTACAAACAGTATAAGAAAAAATAAACTTGGAAGTAATACTTCCTGAAATAATCCTATAATCCATGCCTATCCCTATATGTATATATGCACTTTATAGATGTTGTACACACAAAGTTACAAATTTATAATAAAAGCAGTAGCTTAACAATTCCAAATTCCACTTCTACTCTAATTTTCCTGTCACTGGTTAACAGAGGACGTGTGTCCCATTTTACTACATGAAGCCAGCACTACTTAATGCTTACAACATGACTACTGACCAGTGGGTAACTCAAATACTGGGCAAAGAAGTCCTGGCTCGACATATCCATGGGATATGGTCCATAAGAACAAGTGAGGTCCCCCCCTCATTTTGACAACATACAAAGAATCCTTCATGTTTTGAGCAGGTCAGCTGCACAAATGACTAAGTATGTGGCTTTCACATTCTTAGCATCCCACCAACTTCAAACTCATTTTCAAAACTATGCTTGATTCAATTGAAGCCTTCAGCTCAACTTGCCAAATCTGTCCTGTGAATAATGCAGTTACACAATGGTATTGATTGTTATATTGTATATATTAGCTCTTGCCACTTACTGTTGGCTTTAAGCACTAAGAACAGCCTATATTTGCTGCCACAGGAAACAGAACAATCTATGTATATAAAAGCCTAAGCGACTGTCCAACTGGTAGCTATGACGCACAATGACCACCATGGGACAGATGCTCCGACCGGTAGCCATGACCTGCTCTGATCACCAGGGGGCAGATGCTAAACGCAGGAGCTGCAGAGCTGCAGTGAATTGGCAGCTGTGGTTCTTGGGTGACGCACCCGGAACCAGAGCGGAGGGAGTCCTCACAATCCGAGACCCCTTGGGGGATGTCGGAGAGCCGGTTTTGGCTTGATCCCCGCAGGCCAGGCCGAGGGACTCCAATGGTGCACGAATCCGTGTACTGGGCCTCTAACTAAGTTATAAAACACTAATAATGCTTCAAAATATTCTGTCAAAAAAGAGGGGAAAGGGAATGTGACTTTAATAAAAAAAAATACAAAAGTATAAATGGCAACCAAACATTTAATTTAGCAGGGGGGGGGGGGGGGATGCTATAAAATTTTAAGAGATCTCTTACCAGCCTCTTACAACTCTTATCAGTACCCCATTTGGAAAGGTCCATGATGTAGCATCGAGAATACTACAGTAGACCTTTTGTTTATAATTACTTCCGTGGAGATCATAGATAACCATCTGCAACATATAGAAAACAGGCACAATAACTAACTTTAAAAATGCATTTAAAATTGTCAAAAGTCCTAGAATCTAGAAAATAAAATATCCTGAGTATATAAAGTAGACATGACTTTAGATGTTAAATCCTTAAATAAAATAATCCTTTTCTAACTCAGCTCAAAGTCTTTACTTAAAACTCCTTTAAGCCTAATAGTAACTATATTTTTCATATTATATATTAGTCTATGTAAGAATCTTATGCTGCCCAGCTGGCATGGCTCAGTGGTTGAGCATTGACCTATGAACTGGTCAAGGCATAAGCCCGGGTTGCCGGCTTGATCCCCAGTGTGGGGCGTGCAGGAAACAGCTGATCAATGATTCTCTCTCATGACCGATGTTTCTCTCTCTCCCTCCCACTCTCTTCCTCTCTAAAATCAATACAAAATAAAAAAATAAAAAGAAAGAAAAAACTTATGCTTACCTTTCCAGGTCTTGGGTTACACCTCAGAGATTGTATGTCAACATTCTGAAATAATAAACGTGGAAGAAGTAAGCCTTAAGAAACATCAGTGGAAAGATACATTGTTCACTTTCTCAGCCATCACAAATCAAATTTCCCACATTTACTTGGTGACATAATGTGCAAGGTGTACCTCTAGGTGTTACAAAGAAGTAAAGGTAAAAATAGAGGAAAATGTGTTGTCTCTGCCCTCAGGAAGCTTATGGCTTGGAAGGGAGAAATAGTTGATTGCACTCTCATGACACTTCTAAGGGGTGGGGGACTAAGTTAAACCCACAGGTAAAATACCAGGTTGTGAAAGAAAATGCCAGGTTATGAAAGTTAAGGCAAATGGCACCAGCATGGAGGGGGGTGAAGGAGAAGATTTGAAAGAGGCTTGTCTGAGGAAGTGGGATGGAGAAGACCTTGAAAAACAGAATTTCAATAAGTGAAAAAATATGGCTGTAGAAAAAAAGTCCAGGAAGAGAACCCGAGAAGAAATAAGTTGGTAGGAAACACAGCGTGTGAGCCAGAGCATAAGGAGGCAAGGCTGCACAAATAGAATTTGGGGGCCTTGTAATACAGAGTGAGGAGGTTCCACTTGATTTGGTAGACAACAGGGAGGCATTAAAAAAACACTTATTTAAATCATTTTTTAAAAATGACTTTGCCTTGCAAGCTGTTGGTTGGTATTCAAGTATTACTATTTGCTCCTAAGGCTATTCCATGTAAAGGTACAGGCTTTGGACCCCTAGAAAAAGTTTCATAGTCTTGAGAATGCCAGAAAGGAAAGTCCCATGTTCAATGAATATTCTACATTAGCCATTTAAACATTTCTAAGTCAAAGAAAAGTGTAACTGAATTTCAAAAAATTTTCCAACTATAATGTTATCAGCTCTTTTTCTTGGAATTAGGCTGTTCATTGCCCTGCTTTGAATGAACAACAACATGAGCAACTAAAGTAAGGGAGGCTGTTAAGCAAACAGTTAAAATATTTTTAAGTATTTAAAATATTTCCAACTACTATGAAATATTTTCATGAGATACATAAGCTCAACAAAAAGTATCAATTTTTAAAAATATATATTTTCAATAAAAATATTGATTTCAGAGAGGAAGGGAGTGGGGGAGAGAGATAGAAACATCAATGATGAGCGAGAATCATTGATCGGCTGCCTCTTACACACCGCACACTGGAAATGGAGCCCAAACCTGACTGGGAATGGAACTATGACCTCCTGTGGCTTAATCACTGAGCCACACTGGCTGGGCAAAAGTATCAATTTTTCTCACATATAGTCAGAGAAATTCAGAATCTTGTAACTTAATTTAGTTTAAAAACCAATGATAGTACTGATTGGTGTGGCTCAGTTGGTTAGAAGGTCGTCCCATGCACCAAAGGGTCATGTGTTTGATTCCTAGTCAGGACACATACTTTGGTTGTGGGTTCAGTCCCTGGTCGTGGTGCATGTTGGAGGTAGCCTATCGATGTTCCTCTCTCACACCGATGCTTCTCTTCTCTCTCCCCTCTCCTTTTCCCTCCCCCTTTCTCTCTCTCTAAAAAAATCAATAATTAAATAAAACCACACATATCCTCAGTGAGGATTTAAAAAAACAACAACTGCCCTTGCTGGTTGGGGCACATGCCCGGATTGTGGGTTTGATCCCCCATAGGGGGCATGTAGGAGGCAGCCTATCAATGTTCCACTTTCACATAGATGTTTCTCTCTCCCTCACTTCCTCTCTCTCTAAAAATCAATTAAAAATTAAAAACAAAACTAAATATAGCAAAGAACTGGAAAATAACTTGCTTCTCTGCCTTTAAATTTTGAGCTAAATTCTTTTTCTCAATGTAACAACTTAGCTAAAAATACATAACTTATGCTACAGTTCAACCAAAGAATAAATTAACCTCTGATAATTTTAAAAACAATCTTTACACATCAAAACATTGATTTTTCTTAAATTTCTAGGTCGTTTAATGACCCAAGCACTACTTCACTTAAGCACTAGTTAATAATCAAAATGACTTACCTCTATGAATGGGCTTAATCTGCCTGAGTTGTCTTGAGCACGGAAATATTTTGAAGCCGGTTCCTGCAAAGTCCCACCAAATCGGGCTCCTTTTTCTGAGGAGTGGGTTTTGGAAGTCTGCAAATACTGATGATAAGCACTCTTTACAGAAGAATGTAGTTTAGAAGTAAGGTCAGACTTTTGTAGAAATGGGGCCTTTTCTGGCCACAGCCCAATTTGCAGATTAGGGGTTGTAGGTTCCTTTGCCTTCACAGATGAATTCTTAGAAATTCCAGTCCTTTCCTGGTCATCATCAGAGTCAAACGTGATGGAAGGATCTGACCACTTGAAGGCAACAGATTCCCTCCTGCTAGCTCTGAGACTTCCCTTATGCAATGACTCTTCTTCCTCTTCCCCTAACTCCTGCCTCTCCTCTTCATCAAAATTCATCTTTAAGCGCTCTGACACCGACTGGAGAAGCGACAAGACAGAAGAGGGCTGGTTGGCATTATCCCTAGATTTTGTGGAGCCATGATGACCAGGTGAGACCTCGTTGGATAGAATGTCCTCCTGAGAGCTGTCATCCTCATAGATGGGAGACAAAGCTAAGGGATAAATTTTGTACCTTTTGGCTTCCACTGATAAGAACATTTCTGAGCTATCACTATCAAAGTTCTCACCTAATTTAGTACCTCTTTCAAAATGATGGACCAGGTCAGTTCTACTCTCAGACCTTTCACATGTGACAACAGGTATGCTGCCAGGGGGTGCATCAGGAAACGAGGGACAGGTTCTCCTCACTTCAGCAGGAGCACACTTGTCTTCACCTTGAAGGGGTTCTTCATACAATATAGTGAAGGAAGGGTTTTCCTGTTCAGCCTGAGAAATGAAGGCTAAGTTAGAGTCTTCTCTTTTATCGCAACCATCTCCTAGATTTCTTGTTTTGTCATCTACTGCAGTAACAGCTGTTCTTCTGTCTAGCCTTTCTATAGTATCCACAGGTTGAAAATCTGGCATTGCTAAGGCAGGGTAGCCTTCAAAATCCTTACTTAACGTAGGCGGTTCATATCCCCTGAAATAGGAAGCAAGTCGGTTATCACGTGCTATCAAGCCTTCCTTTACTTCAGTGGGCTCTTCCTCCATTTCTCCAATACTCTCTTCAGCATAATCTTGGGGTACTTTTTCAGGTTCAGATATGGGAGGCATGGCCTCTGCTTGTGTAACGGGCAATTCCAGACCTGTCCCATATGTTTTTCCTACATCTACCACTGCAGGTAACACTTGGTGTTTCCTGACAGGCCCATCAGAATCTTCTGGGGCTGTTCTCTCCATCTCTATCATAGAGGGCATGGACACAATCGTTCTAACTGTCTCTTTAGCATCCCTCTTGCATGCTTTTCCCATTTCTGGAGAGGCAGGGGCTGCCTTTTTGGGTATTTTTTTCACTTCCAATGCAAAAGGCACCTTTTCAGTTTTCCTAGTAACTCCTTCAGCATCCATTTGGTAACTGTTTTCCATTCCCAACACAGGCCTTTCAGTCTTCTCGGCAACCCCCTCGGAATCTTCATGGTAGATGTTTACCACTTCAAACACAATGGGCATCACCTCAGTTTTGTCCATATCTCCCTCAGCATCCTTTTGGTAAATATCTTCTATTTCTGATGCAGGAGGCATCACTTCAGACTTTTCAGTAAACCCCTCATCATCTTTTTGGTAGATATTTTCTATTTCTGACACAACTGATGTCACCCCGGTCTTGCCAACATCACCTTCAGCATGCTTTTGGCAAATATTTTCCATTCCCAGTTTAACAGACATCACTTCAGTCTTTCCAGTAATTCCCTCGGTATCTTTTTGACAGATATTTTTTACTTCTGACATAACAGGCATCACGTCAGTTTTGCCAATATCCCTTTCAGTATCCCCCATCTTACATGCATTTTCCATTCCTAAAAGGGCAGGTATTCCCTCAGTTTTTTCATGATACCCCTCAGCATCCATTTGATGTACTTCTTGCATTTTAAAACTGTCAGCCATGGGCTCAGTTTTTGTCTCATTCAATTCATCATCCCTTTTATGTGTTCCTTCCATTTCTGACATAAGGGGGACTGCCTCATTTTTCATAACACTATATTCAGCATTCTTTTGGTTTGTTTTTCCTATTTCTAACATGGAAGGGATAAGCTCAGTGTTTCCTATATTTCCTTCAGCATCCTTTTTGTGCACTTGCCCTACTTCTGACATTGCAAGGGGTATGCTCTTATTACTGTGTGCTGGCAAGCCCTTTTCAGGCATACACACAAGACTATCAGACAAGCTGCTTCTGGATGTCCCAGGTAAACGGGTGTCATCATTTGTGCACGGAGGCCATTGGACATTTAATACAAGAGTTCCAGTATCCTCTGTCCCAGTTTTTTGATTATTCACACATTCTATTTCCATTTTCTCTTTAGAGCCCTCTTTGAGAAGTACATGTGTTTCTACCCTATCATCTGACCCTTTACGGGGCAAGTCTTCAGCTAGTAAAACAGTATCTGATTCCTGCAAGTTTATACCATCAGACTGTCCAGCTCCGTTTCCTTTAATTGACTCTGTGTTACTTACAGAGAAGAATCTACCGAATACTTTATGTTCACTAATTTCACATGTGCTTTGATTTACTACCTGTTTTGATACCACCAACTCCCTTACAGGAGGCTTAACACTATCACTGTTCAGCATTTTTGGAGTATTAGCCTGAAGTTCAGAATCCCAGGTAGTCTCAGTATCTTCAAAAGCATCCTTTGTTATATGTTCTCGGACTGAATTAATAATCTCACTGACTAATTCCCTAGCTTGATCTTCTAACAAACAAGATACATTCATTCTATCAGAATCAAAAAGGAGACTCTCCTCACCAGGTGCAGGCGAAACACAGGCCCTTTCTTCCCCTTGGACTCCTGCCATGTTTCCCAAGTCCTGCTCTTCCAAATGCTCTGTCAGTTGGCTCCCCGGCAGTGGCGCCTTCGCTGGGTTCTCCTCAGGTGTGCCTTCTGGCAGGGCGCCAGGGTCCATGATGCCGTCTTTGGCCAGATGCTCCTGGCAGGTATCAACTGTGTGCTTGGATTTCAGGTCTTCCCTAACAGAATCAAAGACCTCGCCGATCAACGTGTCAGCCTTTTTCAGCAAACCGCTTCTGAGGGCCCCGAGCTGATGCTCAGCAGAGGCTTCAGAACACTGCTGGCGGGAGCTGTTAACTGACGCCGGGGCCCCAGCAACTGCTCCCACCTCTGCTTCCATGGGCCTGTCAAACGGGGCAGCAGTTGGGAAATCCAGAGATACCGTCCCAGTACGATTACCCAAATGTCCCTGAAAGGAGGTCACTTCAGCCCCTGTTGGTACAGATGCTTCCAATTCCAAATAAGAGCTATCAGGGTACAGCCGGTTAGTTAAGGCACCTTCATGTGTGGTATCTATAGCAACTTCTGCAGAACCAAAAGTATCCAGGGGATTATGTGAACTCGTGACCATGCTGACTCCTTCGGCCTTACTAGAGGAAGGCATGCTGTCAACCCCACCTTTCTTTCCCTGAGACGAGGCTTCCTTTTCAGATCTGAGCACAGAAGGAACACTGAGAACGCTTGCATCTTCAGGTGCAAAAGTGTTTTTTTCCAAAGTGATGTCAGAACCTAGAAAAGGTGAATTTACTTTTGTGCTGTCAGTTTCTTGGCATTTGGGGCAAGTATTAGTTAGGCTGAGTTCTGCTGTTTCTGAGAAACCTGAAATCTTTTGAGTCCCACAAATATCTGAAGGTTCATAACTCACATAAGTGTTGGCTTTTTCATCATGAATGGGAGGTAAAATCCCAGGTGTATTACTTCTGAGAGAAGCAGAAGCATAAGCCAACACTTCTATCTCTGTTTCCTTTACACCTTGATATCTGGAGACAGAAGGAGAAACCGCCGCTTGGCAATTCTCTTTAAGTCCAGCATCTGAATATTTTTCTTTAAGCTCATTATGATCCACCAATTGACAACTTTTGTCCTGTTCAGCCTCTGGAGAGGTTAACTCTGATAAGATAGGCTTTGCTGGCACATCTGTAATTTCAAATGGAGAAGAAATTTTACCCTGAGAAATGTCTCCAGGGTCTGTGTGGGAAACAGGTATCTCGGAGAGGGCTATAGTTTTTCCTCTCCCAGAATGTGACTCCACAGGAACACTATTCTGACCATTGACTTCAGCTTTTGAGAAAACTTTAGCAACGTTACTAGTTTTGGTGTCCAAGGAAAGAGAACCAGACTTCTCCATAGTGCTTTTCCTTGCTCCGCTGTTTGAACGCATTAACTCTGCTTTATGAGGGTCCTGAGAGGAAATGGAACTGTGATGCTCAAAGAGGCTTTCATCCTCCAATCTCGAGTCCACCCCCGTCAGGTGGGTGTCACTGGTTTCAGGGTCTAGTGGAACCTGGCATTTTTCACTATTAGGAAGAACATCCTTGGATTCAAGAATCACAGACGTGTGCTCAGGGTGAAGGCAAGCTAGAGGACTCTTCCCATCTGCAGCGTCAATGTGATTCGCCACATTTTCTTCTCGACACTCACCAGGCTCATTGGAAACACCAACAATGTTGACATCCCCTGTTTCAATGAGCACAGAAGACCCCTCATTCTTTAAAACAGGCACATCCAACCTGCTCAGCGTACTAATTCCAGGAACAATGGGGGGAGATGAAGCACTGGAATTTGATTTTTCACAGTCAAGGGGAAGAGAGGTTCTGGTATCAAGTGATACTTGAGTTTGTTGAGGACTCTCAGAGTCGGGAAGAGAGTCTGAAATGTGATTTCTATGGCTTTTGAAGGACAGTTCAGGGGTTATTTTGTTTTCTAGGCAGGCTACACCTGGTGACTCACTGATACATTTTACAGCAGCAGGGTCCTTTTGATTGATTCTAAGAGCATGAGGCATTTTGCCATGTGGCCCAAAATCAAGGCTTTTGGGTTCTGCTATAGACAACTGGTCAGTATCTTTGGGTAATGGCTCAATTCCATCTTCTGCATTGTTTGCGTGACTTGAAGCTGTGGGTTCACCAACTGAGACAGTTTCTGTTTCTTGCCTGATTTCTGTAACAGCTGGATTTTTCTGTGCATCTCGGGCAGACAACCTGTTTCCTTCATTTACAAGTTCAGTGCCTGTCACAGCATGTCTCGGAAGAGCAGCGGTGTGACTGGCAGCCTGTTGTGATGAGTTACCTACAGTTGGCGTGTCAGAACACTCACTCTCTGGAGACGGCAGGTCTTCATGCCTGATGGATTTATCTGGACACGGAAAATCTGTACTTTCCTGTTGGGTACTGTCACTTCCATCAGATTTACTACAAGACAAGTCAGCAACAGCAGGGTGCTCAGGCTCGACACGCTCTTCCCTTTGCACCAGGCTCCCATCACTCCCGATGGAGCTGCTTTCTTCTGTTGCAGTCTCGGGAGGAGTTATCCTCTGAAAGCCTGGACGGCCAGGGGCTGTGCCGCTGCAACTTCCTGTCAACAATGCGGAACACACTAGATTTCCGTCAGTCTGAGAAACTAGCACATGACTTAAATGCTGCTGTGAGTCAGATTCTCCAACAGCAAAGCTGGAGTTAGTCACAGAAGAAGGGGATGGCCTACTTCCCTCAGGTCCCCCAGGGCCATTTTTATTTAAAACTTCCTTAGAAGAAGCAATCTTCAGCACATCTGGGTTGTTTGTCAGATGGCTTTCTGTGTTGAGACTTATTCTGCTACAATCAGAGTCTTCTAATAGGTCTCCATGCATATGTCCTTTCATAGCTATGTCTGTGCTAGATGACGACAAAGATGACCGCATCCCAGCCTCAATCTCATTTCCAGGGCCAGTATGTGTGCTCGTACTAGAGTCAGAACTTTCATTTTCTCTGTCCAAGGGATTCACAGTTTCTAACACAGTCTGTTGCTTCAAAAATTTCCTAATTTGTCTGGGGCCTCGATACGTTGCATATGTTACTGAAGGCCTCTCTGGTTTACCATCTGCTTGTCTGTGAATAAACAAAACAAAACAAAAAACAAAGCACAAACAGCATGAGAGTATCAGAAAATATGATTAGAACACCTTAAGAGTAATCCCAGAAACTCTGGTGAAGTGTATCTCATAATAGGGAAGGCTTTTCACCTTTCTATGTAGAGAAAAGCTATAAAACCAGCAGTTTGTTTTTTCAAATTACAGCAAAGCTTTGACAATAGAAATTCTCATTGTGGATATAAATCTTTTGAAAGTATAAGAATTAAAGAACTTTTTAAAGCATTTCAACCCAACAAAGAAGCAGCTTCCTATATAAATGACATTGGAAGCATGAGTTAGTGTATAGAGAAGAATCTAAAAATTGTTACTCAACAGGTATATTTAAAGGCCATATGGATATTAAAAAGGAAATTTGCACAGTCAACTATACATACAATTACAAAGCTGTTTATTATTTTTAATTACATAAAGATAAAATCATTTACAATGCCTGTTGATGAGGATTTCTTTCAAATATACTTTAAAATATAGGTAATACCTTGTTTAAATTCTGTATTAATTGTGATTCACAGTGATAAAAAATATGTTTATACGATAGTAATAGCATTATGCAGCACAGGCTATTTTATTAACTTGTCTAAATTAAATTATTAACCCTTTTTAATACACCTGATTATTAAAAAAACTATAAAAATATTAGGGGCATTTTTATATGAGAAAGACAATGTAAAACCTTCAGTTAATTATTCTTTCTTAAAATAAATTAAAAATTTTATGTATGCAAAACTGAAGTCTCATAGGAATTTCAAAAGCATAGGCTCTTAATGTTAAATAATATTTTATATCTGAAATACTCTCATTTCAATAAAAATTAAATATATCCTTGCTTGCAATAAATTCATATCACAGAACCAAAGAGACAACTTTAATACTTAAAATGCAGATACTCAAATGATTAGAAAATACCTTCTCCAGATATATTATTTACATAATATCTAAAATTGCTTATAAGCAGTCCTTACTCATACTGTCAAAATAAACTATTAACCAAAATGGTATTCAACTTTTATAATTCCTAAACAAATTAAAAATTGTCAACAGGGAGTTACTAAAACTATAATTCAAAATCTGATTTCTAAGGCTGGGCTGGAAGAAGTTTGTTATCGCAGTCAAACTGGATGTCTAGTGGTCTTTTCCTTTCCTCTGAAGAATCACTTTTCTTAGCTCTGTAAAAAGGAAAGGTCCCAACGCTGCAATAGCTGTGGCGAATGGTGGATTTTTTTGGTACACCCCAGTGATCTTAGGTCCCGTAGCCAGTGTTTGCCCTTGAGGACTTGGAAACTTCTTACAGTCTCCACCAGCTGTTCCTATTGTTATTAATTTCTATTATTAATTGTTATTAACTGTATGATTTGGGGGATGTTACATATTTTTCTGAGCCTTGTTTCCTTATTTAAAAAAAGAAATATAGATTAAAACAAAGCAACAACAGCCAGGCCAGTGTGGTTTAGTGGCTGAGCATAGACCCATGAACCAAAAGGTCACCGGTTTGATTTCTGGTCAGGGCACAGGCCTGGGTTGTGGGTGATCCCCAGTAGGGGGCATGAAGAAAACCGACAATTGATGTTCCTATCTCTCTATCGCTTTTCCTTCCTCTCTCTTTCTAAAAAATAAAGACAAAAATAAATCAACAAAACAAAACAATAACAACAAGAATCGCCTTTCTTTGCTGAGGTGGTTCTGGTGAATTGCCTTAAACAAGTAATCTATTAACAAGGAAGGCTTTACCAACAAGAATTAAGAGGCACAGTATCCTCTTCCATTTTCTACTGTTCAGTACCAAAGTAAACCTGACTGTCAAGACGAAAATTCTGAAATGTTCCAAATTACAATTAGAGAGCCCAGAGAGTGAAAGAGAGAAGAGTTAGCCTGTTAATAGCTGTGGACCAGTTCTGACAAAAGACTGCTATTTCTGTACATCTGATGGAACTTCGGATTAAATTCCAGGTGGCTATTTCCACAGATAATTTTAGTCAGGCACCATCGATCCCCACTTCTTACCTAAACGGGGGCTTGCCAGACTGATGCCCACCACCAAGCCACAGGAGTGGGCTGCGCCCATCCCAGAGCTGCCCGCGGCACCTCCTCCTACCCTTTCCTACAGCTAATGTACATTCTTTCAGATGGCGTGCTCTTTCTTCCCCCTTCCCTGTGTTTGATGTATAAAAGTGCTTACAAGGACATATCCATCGGAGATGATGGACGTGTCCTTCCTACCTAGCCATGCTGCTGGTGCTTTAGGCTCCATGCCCCAAGACAGGTATTCTATTTTTTGCTAGCAATGGTCTAATAAACTGTTCTTTAAAAAAGACTTCCAGCCATGGAAATTAATTTTTTGCTGGTTTGTTTAATGACCTATTAATCAAAACCAAAGAAGAAAAAGCACAAAGTTTCCATTCTACCCAATTCCCATAGAACAGGCTCAAAATCCCCACCTTTTAAATTACTTTGGAACCAAAATCACCTGGAGAGGTAGCCCACTGCCGGGTCTCACTCCCAGATATGCTGAGTCAGTGGGTCTGGGTCTGATAATCTGCATTTCTAATGCTTCCCAGGTGCTGCTGCTGCTGATCTGGGGCCACATCCTCAATAGCTCTGCTTCAGACAATTCTTTATGAACAACCGACCCAATTCAACTTTTGTTGTTGTTGTTGCTATTGGACATTTGTTTCTAATTATACATTCTTATAAATAATGTTTCAGTAAACACATTTATTACTGGAGATAATCTACATGCTTTTTAAGGTTCTTGATACACGTTGCCCTAAAATGTGTCCTCACTCCTAACAGTACACAACTGCATTAGACATTATCAACATGACACACAGAGTACCATCATTTATTATCACTGCTATCAATTTAGTAGGAGAAAAGTTATTTTAGTTTGCATTTCTTTGATTGCTAGTGAGGATACGTTTTCTCCACTTATTTATTAGCAGTTTGTATTTCTTTTATTTGAATGATTTGTTTATATTGTTTGCCCATTTATTCTATTTGTAAGTTAGTGTCTAAAATTCTTATCAGTTATAGCATGGTCTGACATTTTTCATATATAATTTTCTTGTTTGCCAATTTAATGTATCATTGGTTATGATATTGCTTGACATAAGCGAGTTTGAAAATTGTAAGTAATCCACTTTACTGATCTTTCATTTCCTGCTTTCCATTGCTATCATGCTTAGAACATTGCTTCTCCCCAAGATAAAATTCACATTTAGCTACTTTTAGTTTTGTATGTTTTTAGTATGTTACTCCATTTTTATTGATTTTAACATAAAAATGAGACTACAAAGAACTAAACAGTCCTAAGTTATCACCTATATAGTATTACTGATGAGCTCCTCAAATAATAAAAATAATTCTCAGGTAGAGGTTAAATTAAAGTAAATAAAACAGATCTATCTCTCTCTCCCTCTATCTTCCTCTCTGAAATCAATAAAAATATATTAAAAAATAAAATAAAACAGATCCTTATTAGGGTTTTTTTTTTGGTTGTTAATCCTCACCCGAGGACATTTTCCCATTGATTTTTTTTTTAATTTTATTTTTTTAAAAATATATTTTATTGATTTTTTACAGAGAAGAAGGGAGAGGTATAGAGAGTTAGAAACAGCAATGAGAGAGATCGATCAGCTGCCTCCTACATGCCCCCCACTGGGGATGTGCCCGCAACCAAGGTACATGCCCTTGACCGGAATCGACTGGGACCCTTCAGTCCGCAGGCCGATGCTCTATCCCCTGAGCCAAACCGGTTCGGCCCATTGATTTTTAGAGAGAGTGAAAGGAGGTGGGTGGCGGGGGGAGAAACACTGATGTCAGAGACACATTGATTGGTTGCCTCCCACACATGCTCTGACTGGGGCCAGTGATGGAGCCTGCAACTGAGGAACGTGACCTTGACCAAAATTGAACTGGAGTCCCTTCAGTCCACAGGCTGATGCTCTAGCCACTAAGCCAAACTGGCCAGGTCTTTTTATTAGTTAAAAAAAAAAAATATATATATATATATACACACACACACACGCGCACACACACACACACACACACACACACACACACACACACACAGTGGGGCCTTGACTTTTCCGATTAACGAGTTTTTTGAGATACCAGCTGTCTCTCGGCTGATTTTTTGCATTGAGTTGACAGAGTAATTTGAGTTAACGAGCTCCTTAACGAGCTTGGTCTCGGAACGAATTAAACTCGTAAGTCAAGGCCCCACTGTATGCATATATACACACACACATATATATATATATATGTAATTTTATTGATTTCAGAAGGGAAGGGAGAGAGAAAAAGGGATAGAAACATCCATGATGAGAGAGAATCATTGATCAGCTGTCCCCTGCACGCCCCCTACTGGGGACTGAGCCTGCAACCCGGGCAGCCCTTGACCAGAATCAAACCGGCAACCCTTCAGTCTGCAGGCTGATGCTCTATCCACTGAGCGAAACTGGCTAGGGCTCCTTATTAGTTTTGAATGAATATTTTTGTTACACAAAATATCTAATGGACTCAACATTGTTATAAACATTTTTGGGGGTAGAAATTATTCCTTCTATTGCAAATGGAAGCAGCTACTATAGAAAGCAATATGGAAGTTCCTAAAAAAATTAAAACTAGAACTACCATATGACCTAGCTATCCCACTTCTGAGTACTTATCCAAAGAAATCCAAAACACTAATGTGAAAAGATATATGCATCCCTATGTTCATGGCATCATTATTTACAATAGCCAAGATATGGAAGCAACCTAAGTGACCACTGATAGACAACTGGATAAAGAAGTGGTACATATGTACAATGGAATTTTTAAAAAAAAATTTTCTTTAGAGAGAGGAAGGGAGAGGGAGAGAAAGAAAAACATCGATTGGTTGCCTCCCGAACGCACCCTGACAGGGGATCAAATACATAATCTGGGTAAGTGCCCTGATAGGGGATTGAACCCTCCACCTTTTGGTTTACAGAACAATACCCCAACCAACTGAGCCACACTGGCCAGGCATATATAATGGAATACTACTCTTCCATTAAAAAAAAAAAATGAAATCTTACCATTTGCAGCAACATGAATAGACCTACAGGGTATTATGCTAAGTGAAGTAAATCAGAGAAAGACAAATACCATATGATCTCACTTATATGTGGAATCCAAAAAACAAAATAAAGAAAACAGAAACACTCACAGATACAGAATAAGCTGATGATTGCCAGATGGGTGGGGGTTTGGGGGGGAAGGGAAGGATAAAGGAATTAAGAAGTACAAATTGGTAGTTATAAAATAGTTACAGGGATGTAAAGTACAGCATAGGGAATATAGTCAGTATTATTGTAATAATTACGTATGGTGTCAGGTGGGTACTAGACTTATTGGGGGGTATCACTTCATCTATAATAAAAGCGTAATATGCTAATTAGACCGGACATCCTTGTGGACAACCTTCCGAATGAAGCCGGGGCTGCGAGGGAAGCCCGGGTCCCAGTGCCTGCTGGTGGCCGAAGGGAAGCCTGAGTTCCAGGTGCCGGAGGGAAGCCGGTACTGGCAGCCAGGGAAGGAAAGTCGACTTGTGCACAAATTTCGTGCATCAGGCCTCTAGGAAATGATATAGATGTCTAACCACCATGCTGTATATCTGAAACTAATATAATATTGGATATCAACTGTAATTAAAAAATAAAGAAAATATTCCTTCTAGCTCATCTGTACCAGGAAAAACAAATTAGTGACTTCGTTAATCAAGCAAAGAACATAGGGGTGGTGAAATGCTCCTTGAATCTGTGCAAGATTTCAGTTTCTTGGAGTTGTGGAAAAGGTTCATAAGGCTAGTTTTAGGGATAGAGCCCATTCAATTTCTTCTCTGAACCTCTCAAATTATACTCCACAAAGAAAAGATACTGACAGAATATGAATACAAACCTTAGGACCATATTTGTTCCCCAAAGACACTGAACACACTGCCTGTTCTAATACAGGAAAAATTCAGACAACAGAAAACACTCATATTCAAGAAATCTTACATTAGAAGTAAACCTTGTATGATAACAAAGTTAGCACCTACCTAAAAGGTATTAGTATCACCCCCTAAAATAGCTCAAAAGGCCCTAGATTACATGTATGGTACACAGAATCACAGAACTTTTTTTTACCTACTACCAGGAACATTATAGGATACTTTTTCCAATCTCTTTAATTGAAAGTAGAGCTAAGGATCAAAAGCTAGATCCAAAAGCTCAGATTTTGGCTCAAGTAAAACTTAAACTTACTTTATGAAGTCACTGGTTTCCTGTTCGCTGTCTTGTGTGGTATCCAAAGAAAAGGCATCTGAGGGTGCAGCCGAGCTGGACTCCTGCTCTCCTGCCAGCAGGGCCGGGGTTCCCGGGGAGCCCCTGCACATCTCCCTCTCCTCCCTGACCTCTTCCCCCTGATGCTCCCTGGGACTTCGGAAGTCCTTCTCAGTTCTGTCATGGTCATCTTTCAGAGAGGACTGCTTGGCCTCAGCAAGAGATGCTTTTCCAGAGATATTGAATAAGTTGCCAAGAAACTGAAAAAAGCTTTCTTTTGGCTGTCGATCACTTTCTCCTGTTTTGCCATCTGACGTAGGACTGGGAAGGTCGTTGGGCTTTTTGGAATCTCCTGGCACTGGAAGAGCGATTAGCTTCTCAGCATGGTTCCTTCTGTGCTCACTTTGGGGAATCTTTGAAAACAAAACAGAATAACAAGCATCATCACTAAAAAGTAACTCAGGCTGACTGATAACCTAGTACAGGATACATTCTGCGTTAGACCCAGGGACGTGTTTATGAATAAGACTGGTGATTTCTGTTTCCTTGGGAAGTTTACAATCTGCTGAAGAGCACAGTCAGCTCAACTCTAACAAAGCTACATAGTCAATGTCATGAAGAGAGAGGTACAGCACACCTGGGAAACCCAGCCCAGATCTGGTGGCAGTGAGGGCAGAGAAGGTAACTCAGGGATGCTTCCTGGAGGAGGTGACCCCTGTAGGAGACCGACAAAGTGACTTTGTGATGCTTGTGCGTCTTCTTCCCTCTCCTCTTCCTCCCCTCCTCTGTGTTTAATACGACTGGAGGTCAGGGTACAAAAAGAGAAGAGTGAGGGATTAAGTATGGGGAGATAAGTAAAGGAACAGATTTTGGCAAAATTTATGTGTATTTAAATATAGCCATTCTTATTACAAAGCTAATGGACACTACTTTCAAACACTCGGTATATTAGACAAATAACACCCAAATAGACCTCATCACTTCAGCATTGCGTTAACCCACAAGCTTCCACATTATGTAAAGGTTTTCCTTAAGAAGATGAGGAAAGACAGCAACATGGTACATCAATTCAGAGGAAAGCTCTTCATGGTACAACACAAAGTTCTGATATGCACATTAATGCAAACCATGGACAACACAGGGATTCCTGCAGAGTTAAATACTTTCAGAAGTGCATTTTACCTGCCCATAACTAGGTACTAGTAAAACAAACTCATTCATGCATACTCTGTGTCAGGAAAGATTAAACTGCTATATCAAAGGGCAGGCTGGCGTGGCATAGCACACTCTTCCCCAAAGCTTCATTAGCTTTAGGCCAATATACCAAGTCACCCTGCCTTCCAAACATGCTCACACCTACTTGTAAAAGGAATGTGCACCCGACAGTATCTGTCAGATGGTATGCTCGCTGGTGCTTATAAAAGGAAAGCTCAAGTGTGACTCAGAAAAAATCAGGACACCAAAGGCAAAACCACCTTGGGGCACTGCAGGTTCACATGACAAAGTATTGTAAGGAGTTGATCTTCAAGAAGGCAACAGCCTCGTAATCATAATGTTATTTGCTCATCTCATTCCCTGTTTTAATCCAAATTCGAAAATAGTTTAAAGGAGTATTCCACTAACCACTAATAAAACTTAGCCTATGAAAGGCTGAGAAATGTATAGAACCCATTAGACCAGGAAACTAATTTTGAGCAAACAATATTTTAAGTTTGTTCCCACCCTGGGTGTCAGGATATTTTTGAGTAAATACATAGCATTTTTCCCTGTGTAAGGACCTTAACATACTGTGTGAGTCTCTACATATAGAATATCACCAGCCTTCTGAGGTCACTAAAAGTCTCACCTTTTACTAGTTTCAACTGGAACTTGGTCCCACTGCTCTCTATCTCATCCAGCCAACCTTCTGTCATTATGGGAGCCCACACTATAAACTAGCTGTGCCCTCCCTTCACATAAACTGCATAAACAGCCTCTCTGTGTGGCAGGGCAAGATACGCTAGGTCCCTGGTCGGCAAACTGCAGCTCGCAAGCCACATGCGGCTCTTTGGCCCCTTGAGTATGGCTCTTCCACAAAATACCACATGCGGGCGCACACGTACAGTACGACTGAAACTTCATGGCCCATGCACAGAAGTCGGTATTTTGTGGAAGAGCCACACTCAAGGAGCCAAAGAGCCGCATGTGGCTCGTGAGCCACAGTTTGCCAACCACTGCGCTAGGTGATATTGGAAAATGCTCATGTGTATGTAAGATACATATTTTTTGTCCATTATTCCCTTTAATTCCAACCATAATATTTCCCCCTGAGCCAAATGAATGAACACTATAACAGGAATAGAACCGTGATTTTTTGTTATAATTAGTGTGAATGACTGCTCATCCTGGGTAGCTACTCATTACATCATAAATACAGGGTACGGCAAAGACAGGCTTACAGTTTGTTCATGTGGGAAATAATACAATCCTATATAATAAAGAAGTAATATGCAAATGGTCGTTACAACGTGAAGTGTAACCACCAACCACGTAACAACTGGGTCACGGATCAGGAGGAGGGTGGGGCAGCGAGCTACAAGTGGGCAGCAGAGAGCTACAGGAGGGGGCAGGGCAGCAAGCTATGGGGGTGGGGGTGGGGGGGTGGAGGGAGCTACAGGAGAGTGGGGCAGTGGGCGGAGAGCTACCGGAGGGCGGTGGCGAGCTACTGGCGTACGGATTCATGTGCAGGGCTACTAGCAATTAGTAAATGATAGTACAAGAATAAACTGTGTTTGTGTACTCACAACTGTAAACCTACTTTTGCCCAACCCTATATTCTTAAAAAGCTTTAGAGATTCACAAAGTCTTATAAAATTGGGGCAATGGTTTTAAAAAGGGAGAATTAAGAGAACAAGGAGAGTACATTTTTTAACTATCAATAAACCTCAAGACAAATAATTACTGTCAAAAAGAGTATTTATTTCACTGCCTAAATTATTTTCACTTGGCAATTCCTTTCACAGTATAACAGACTAGTTTCTAAACTGTGATAGAGAAATCACTGGTTTCTCTTTCCCCTAAACTTTTAGCTTCTTTGCTTTTCCAGAATTCCTATATCTTAAGTTTACTACAGAGAACTTTTTTCCAGTTCCTTAAAATGTCTTAGTTGCTTAGTCTTCCCCTAATGATCTTATGAGAAATTTTTAACAATAACTAAAATCCCCTCAACCAGAAAGAAGTATCTAAATTTAGAAACAAAAACTAGCAGAAAAGAGTACTGTTGTTCCAAGTAAACACAATGCATTATTTATGTAATTAAAAATTTTAAGTCTGATCTGAAACAGCTGCTCGCTGCCCTCGGCTTAGACAACAATGAAGTTCAGCCTGCTACAGCCAGGGCCAGCGTCGCCTGCCAGCAGGGCTGCCTGCCATTGTTCCAAAGAGTGAGTGGAATACAAGCACTTGGCGTTCAAGCAAACACCAGTGAAACATCGGTTCCAATTGTTCTCAACGATGTCGGTAATCTACAAATAAAATAGAAAGGCTACCGATGAAGGCATATGTATCTTAGGAATTAAAATTTTTTTCCTTCATATTCCATATATTGTAAAGTAGTGCCCTTAGGTCCAAATTCATCTGTTCTCTTTGGCTTGTGCCCAAGGCAAGGAAATACAGGAAAACATTAGGTACACTGATTAATAAGATAGCTGCGGCTCACGAGTTTACAGTCTAGTAAGATACACCTCATCACATCTCGGTGTGGGACTCACGAGAGGTATGTACACATGGCAGACACAATAGCTGAGCTGGGGATGGGGAGAACACACTGCATAAAAGCGTAGCACCTGAGCTTGCTCCTGAAGGCCAAAAGAGCATTCTAGACACAAAGTATAGCATGTACGGTACAAAGGTACAGAAGTGTGAGGTTTGTTTATTATGGCTGGAGAAGATTGGGGCACAGAGGATAGAGACTGAGGCTGATAAGATGACCAATTAAAAGTGACGGCTGAGGGATAACAGTCACAGATGATTAAGTTTTCTAAACTGAGCAACTATTTGAGTAGTTAAGCCAAAAATGAATAAGAGGAATATGAGGGGAGGTGCCTTTGTGTGTGTGTGTGTGTGGGGGGGGTTGTTTACAAACTATTTAGATGTGAAATGTTGAATTTTTGGTCCCCTGGTGATGTGCAAGTTGAGCTATCTAGTAAGCAGTCAGAACACAGTTTAAGAATGCAATTGGTAATACAGTAGGGTAAAGGGGGACCAACCAAAGAACTGTAGGGAAACAAGATTAAAGGCGGGCACAAAGAAGAGAAGAAATCAGTGAGAGAGACGGAGGAGGCCAAAAGTGGGCCAGGTCATCCCCTCCAGAATACTGGTCTCCAAAGGCATAAGACAAAGATTATTTCCAAAAGCAAAGAGGAGTACATGCCAAATGCCACCGTGAGGTCAACAAAGTCCTCACTCTCCTGGTAACTGGTCTTTAAAAATGTCAGGCACACTCCCGATTGGGCATTTACTCTTCTCTCTGTTCAGAATGTTCTTCCCCCAGATACCAATGTTTCTCACTCCTCCTCACCTCCTTCAGACCTTTACTTATCTCCTCATTGCAGGTTTCTCCAGCCACCCTGTTTAAAAGAATAAACCCTCGGCTCTGAAATTGCCCATCTCTGTTCTCTGCTTTATTTTTCTTATTTTTTCTTGCCAGTATCAAATACACATACATATTATTTAATACCTGTGTCTTCCTCTAGTATATAAAAGCCACAAGGGCAAGGAATTTTGTCTGTTTCAGTCATGCAGTATCTCTAATACCTTGAAATGTACCTGACAGTAAGAGCCAAAAATGCGCAAATATTTGTTGGATTAATAAATGAAGGAAAGAAGAGTATAGAGAAGCCCTGGAATACAGGAGAAATAGTCCTAACAGCTCAGGAATTTGTGAGCACAGCCCCAAACTCAGGGTGGTAAGCAGTAAGTAGCAAGGAAACAGGAACAGCCCACAAATGGAAGGAACACTTTTGAGAGATTTTTTTTAACCAGAAAAAATGAAAGACATAAGATGACGGTTTAAGATCCAAGACACACAAAAAAATAGCTTTTTGTTCCTGTTTTGTGGATCCGTTCCATACCTGTTGGAGGAAGTGACTACTGTGTAAGAAAGAAGGATGACAGGCTCCAGAAAGAAAAGCAGAGGTAATGAGATAGACCACTATAGTCTCTAACACTTTTTTCAGTATTATATATTTTTTAATTAAATTTATTGGGGTGACATTGGTTAGCAAAATTATAGGTTTCAAGTGTACAGTTCTGTGATACGTAGCCTAAATATTACATTGTGCATCTAATACTTATAAGAAAGGGAAAGTATTAGCCTTGAAGAAGAATAGGAACATTTCCTCTTCCAAGTAAAGCGGTAAGAAAGTGGCTAAAG